CAAGCACGAGCACACAATTCGATTCCGGGTATTTGCTATTAGGTACACATGTCTGTGGGTAGGGGTGTTCGCGGTCTGGATTGGAAGCAAAAATCATCCGATCCAATCCCTTCGGTTTGATCATATAATCATCCATTCAGTTTGAGTTTTTTTTCAAATCCGATCCGATCCAATCTAATTTTTTTCGGTTTGGATTGGATCGGTTTTCGGTTTTTTGAAAATCCTAAAATTTATTTCATGATTATTGTGCAAATAACATCTTTTGTAAAAAAATTTTTTTGGCAATGAGATATGAAACTCTACACAGATGAAAATTTGTTAATGAGATGTGACTAAGTTTTTTCTTTTGTTTAGTTGATGGGTTAATGAGTTTTGCGTTTAGAAAGTTTTGGACTATGATTAGGGAAAAGCCTAAATAGATAGAGACGAATTAATATATTGGATCGGTGTGGATTAGATCGGTTTTCATCAACCAATTCGAAAACCGATCCAATCCAATTAAATTTTACGGTTTATTTTCAGTTTTCAATTTTCAGTTTATTCGGTTATCGATTTTTCGGTTAGGTCACCGCGGTTTGAATCGATTTGGATCGATTGATAAGAATCATACATAGCTAAGAATGATACATTAAATTCATTATTTTATTAATAAAAAAAAAACTCAAATGATCACAACATATCCGTGAGACTTATCCAGGACCAAATATAATGCTTGTGATTCTTTATTTTATTAATAAAGTTGAAGACTAACATTTATTATTATTTTATTAATCATTTATTACTTAACGTACTGCATTTTAAATTTAAACTTAAAACATTGCTTAATTCACGGGTGTCATCATTTTTACAAATAAACAAAGGGTTTTATTAATCTCATATTAAAGAAGATAAATTATCTCATGTCATATAGACAAACTTGTAGGTCCCACCATTTGAAAAATAAAAAGAAAAGAAAAGAAAAAGGTGGCACAATTATCGAAGAGTGTGTGGGAGAGAATTTTATCACATGTAACATGAGAGTAATATTTCCCATAAACAAATGCAAAGTCAGGGATACATTGTGGGTTGTCATAAAACAAAAAAATACGAAACAATATAGAGTTAAATCATAGTTAATATGGGTTATGTTTATCTCATTTTACATGAGATAAACAACTCTCTTACTTACCCACACAAAAGAGTTGGGTCTCACTATTTTTCTTTCTCTCCTTTTACCTATGGGTCCTGCTTATATTTTTATTTCTATAACATGAAATAATATTTTTCCTACAACATAAGAAAAATATATCCCTAGTTAATATGACTCATGGTGTTTGAAGAGTAAAATGCCCAGTTACCGTTATGGGAAAAAAACACAAGGAGGGTTTGGATGTGTTGGAGTGGAGCCTATGGCGCAGCAGCTGAGCTCCTGGCAGTCCGACGATGAGGCAATGTTAAATGCACGGTGGAGCTCGTGGTGGTCAACGGCTTGTGTTGATGGCAACGGTCACCGGTGACTTTCCTGTTTCTCCAACAGTTGTGTGGTCGCCGATGGGTAACTGGCGGTCGCGATGCGATGGCAGAAGCGGAGCCACATATATTTTGAGTGTGATTTTGATCCGGACTAAAATTTAACAAATTTTACTTATTATATATAATTATATAATTAATTACAATTTGATCCGAGTTAAAATTATAATTTGGCCCACGCTACAATTTGTAATTTGGCCCTATTTAAAACTTAAAATATTTCTGGTAAGAGATTTGGGTAAGTTGTATTAAATTATGTGTTCAATTTTTACTTGTATAAAAAAATTTAGTAAAAATAAAAAATATTTAGTAAAATTATAATTTTTCTTGGTACTGCCTCCTCAAGTGCTATGTATTTAATATAATTTAAATTGAGAGAGTTATATTTACTAACTTTTATTTACAAACTCTTATAAACTACATTATATACTTCATGAAGTACACTAGGTTACACTATGTACTTCGGGAGTATATAGTATAATTTGCAAAAATTTATAAATTTTTTTTATAAATGGATCCTTCCCCCCGACCCGCCCCGCCCCGCCACCAACCCGCCAAAAACGGGGCGGGGCTGGTTGACCCGCCAAAAAATATGGGTTGTAAAAATGAACCCACCCCATTTATGGTGGGTTGGCGGGTCAACCCACCAACCCGCCAATTAAAAAAAATTTAATTAAAATTCAAAAATAAATTATATTTTATGAATTTTTTTAATATTATTTTATTTTATTTCACACTTCTCTATATTTTTTTTAGTCTCAATCTTAAATGTATACTAATATTTGTCAAACATTCTTTAGGAATTTATAAATAGATAACATTTGTCATAAATAAAATTGTTATTCTTTATTTTTTCTAGAAAGTACTAAGATAAAAAAAATTGAATATCACAAAAATTTAAGTACTAATGAAATACTACCTAATTGTAAAAAAATAAAAAAATAAAATAAAAAACCCGGCGGGTCAACCCGCCCCGCAGCGGGTTGAACCCGTTTTGACCCACTTCTAGGCGGGGCGGGTTGGTGGGTTGAAAATCTCAACCCAACCCGCCCTGGCGGGTTGACCCGCCGGGCTCAACCCATATTGCCACCCCTACCTTTCGTTCATACAATCTCCATCACATCCATTGAATAAAGATAAGAGCTCGCAGACACATTGAGAGTGTGGGTGTTCTTTGTCTTTGTTGAGAACAACAATGTAAGTGGAAGAGAGCGGGAACGAGATGTAGTTTTTTAAAAAAGGTTTTTGAAAATAATAATATAATATAATGTGATCTCATTCTGGTTGTCCCTTTTTTAAAATAAAATTAACAGGTGATTTTTTGGTTCGAAAGTGCGAATCAAGTAATTTTTTTATTCCACATAATCTTTCGATATCTATGCACTTGAAAATTTCCAGAGAATTATTTGTTAATATTGGGAAGTAAAAATTTAAATAGCATCATTAACAAAGATAAAATATACCAAAAGGGGCACATGCTTTCATGTGACTCCTAGATTCTTCTGGTGTACTTCATGCTCTGAAATATACTTTGATAAGAGGGGTTGAGGTGCTATATATGTTTGTAATAATGCATTCTTCAGCGTTTATAATAGTATAATTTGTGGAACCAATGCAGAATATAAAGATTCAAGGATTTTGATGATAACAAACAAAACATGTAAAGAAGACTTCAAGTTGCAACAATCAAAAAGAAATAATCAACTAACATTCATGAAGTCCATCAAGATTCAAGCTTCAAAAGAAGAATCTAAGTCCAATAATTCTCAAGTAATATACTTTAGGACTTAGAATTAATTGTGAGGGTAATTGACTTATGAGTAAACTCAAAAATATTTCTGTTAAAGTACATGCATTAAATAATTATTTGATAACACAAAGGATTTATAGCATCACGTATTTATAAAAACATGTTTTCAAGATTCAATCAAGTAATTAAACATGTTTGAAAGGGATTTAAAATAAAGAAGAATGCTTATGAACGTATTTCCAACCTTTCCAATAGGTTGGGAATCGATTCCTAATGATTGAGAATCGATTCTCACAGCAAGGGAATCGATTCTCTCCTGCACTAGAGGACGAAAATAACGGATATAAACGGTTAGTTTTGCGAAAATGGTTGTACAAAGTCTCATGGGAGCCCTATATAAATAGGACTATTGTTCCATTTATTGGACAACTCTTCTTGATCATCATTCTTTATTTAAATCTTATCATTTACTTATTTTCATCCATCTTGATCATAAATACTCTTTGAGCTTTATTATTATAAGAGTATCAACACCCATAGTTCTTCAACTTGTATAATCTGTACTTTGAAAGTACTTGCAATTGTTAAACACATGCATTTGATTTCTTGAATAGTTAGGGAGTGAACCCTTTACATCTGAGAGGTCACCAAATTCATAAGAAAATTTGGAGTGTAAAATTGTGAGGCATTAAGGGCCCGAAGTCTCGAAAGGTTGTGGTGGTTTGTCAAGTACCCTCAAGCTTGAAAGCTAGTGAAAAAGTTTGATCGAATGGCTTCAGTCTGGACGCAGGTCACAGTGGTGGTGACTGAACCAGGATACATGTAGTTTGCAATTTCTCTAACCTTAAACTCCTTATTTTAATATTGAAATTGCATTTTTTAGATTATGTCTACATATTTGCTTGCTTACTTTATTGATCACACACTTGCTCTCATACTTAGATTTCTTTGTTAAATCATTTTATTGAAGAAACTCTCTTTTAAAATATCAAAGGAGGCACTTTGCGAAAAGATTTTATAAAACTCAATTCACCCCTCTTCTTGAGTATTGAAGACACTTGTTCAACATAATTCACCTCAAACCTCTTATCAAAGTATGCTTAAGAGCATAAAAATATATTTTTATACAACACATCAAAAGTTCTGTATTTTTAATGCAACATAAAGAATATTATATTCTCACCAATCTCTTTCACACTTTTGTTTTGTGGCACTTTTATAGTAGTACCATTGTTGCAAATTCGAATTGTGTTTGTAATAGATAAAATATACCAAATGAGATGTCATTGCGTGATCTCAAAAAGTTAAGTAGAATAAAAAAAAATTACCTGATTTGGATACCCAAATCAAAAGCTATGACTTTCCGAAATTTTATGATTAAACTGTTAATTTTATTTTTGTCATATGTCAACACTAGATCGGTCACGCCTAAATTAGGCATGAGTGCCTCATGGATCATGCCTAACTTAGACGTGAAATCATGCTCAATCCAAATGTGATATTCTATAATAGATCCATAAATAATATGAAAAAAATCATATATTTATAATTATTTATTTAAATTGTAATAAATTAATTTCCCCCCAGTAATTATTGATAAAATTTGATTTTATAACCAGCGCGTGCACGAACCCACGACATGGCCGCGATTGTTTCTTGTTCACCAAAGCATCCCTCAGCCAAGAAATGTTTTACGTCTGAACTCTAAACCCCATCCCATTCCTTTGTATATATATCACACCATTCACCGCCAAAAGGTGTTGTTCCCTTAAGTTCCCTCTCTTCATTTCTTTGTTCTTTTTCTTCGTTACAGCTACTCTTACCGTTTCCGTTCCGAATCCTAACCTTCCATGGCCTCCGAGAATCTCTCCGCCGACGACGCCACCAACGGCTTCACTCGGCCGGAGATGTACACGGAGAACCTCTCCGGTACCGTCGACGCCTACGACCGCCACGTGTTCCTCTGCTACAAGAGCCACGAGTCCTGGCCACCGCGCGTGGAGGCCTCCGACGCGGATCCTCTTCCCAAGCTCGTTGCAGCGACTTGGAAAGCTCGCAAGAACGATATCGCGGTCAAGGTTAGTTCGCGCGCTTGGTTTATCTGCTCTAGATTTCGGTGATTGAATAGAATAGGTTCCTCTGCTTGGTTGCGATTTTGCTCCGATCTGAGGTTCATGTGTGAGGTTGTTATCCGTTGACTTTATGTGCTTTGATTCGATTTGGTTTGTTTTGACTTGGCAGACGAAAATTACGGTGTGTGAGGCGCGTGAGGAGGCTGGCTTCTCCGACGGTGACGTGTTGATTTTCCCCGAGATGATCAAATACCGGTAAAGTGTAACTCCAACAACATCGAAATTTGTTTGGATGTGCTTTTTGTCTTATTCGTGGTTGTCATGAGTGATTACTAGGGTTCTGTTATTATTTAATGAATTGAAGATACACTTCGATTTTTATATGGTAATAGAGTGTAATTCCGGATGTTAGGTAATATAGTTGAATATAGCTCAATTCTAGCTGAAATTTAAGCTTATATCTGGTTATCCAGCTCTTGAGTATTCCCCATGCTAGTAAGATTTTCTGAGGTGTATATTGAAAACCTTGGTTAATTTTATGTGGAAACTGTATGAATTTTATTTTTGTTTATGATAAAGTACAAATGCAAGGGTGGAGATAGGTCACCGGGTTTGGGGGTGGAAATGGTTCAAATCATTTAATGTTGTTATAATTATTGCACTGTATTGTACCTTTAACTAAAAGTGTGGAATTTTTTTATTTTTATTTATTTTTTAACTTGGGGGCGCACAAGCCTAACGAAGTTCTACCCATGTACAAATGATTTCCTTTGCTAGCATAACAAAGTGCTAAGATTGTTGTAGTTTGCGACTTCATGGATTTATAAGGTTCTATTTGTGCTGGGAAGTTTCTCGCTCTTTTTTATTCTTCTTTTAGTGATGCTATTTCTGTGTGTATAGGTGGAGTTTTAAACTTGCTTGAACTGGTATTTAATTTATGCTTCTCTATTAAATTTTTTTCTTTCGGATTTTGCCTGTTGAAAATTTTCTGTTGTCACTGAGGTTCTTCTCTTTTCTTCTTTAATTGAAAGGGGTTTGGAGGAATCAAATGTTGATAGCTTTTTTGAAGATGTTTTGGTGAATGGTAAACCATGGGCTGCTGGAGTGCCGGAGGTGTTGACCGGTTCGCATGTTTTTGTATGTGCTCATGGAAGTCGTGATGTGAGATGTGGTGTTTGTGGACCGGTTCTCATCGAGAAGCTTAATGAGGAAATTGAGCTCCGAGGGTTGAAGGATCAGATCTTTGTTACTGCTTGTTCTCATGTTGGTGGGCATAAGTATGCTGGGAATTTAATCATATACAGCCCAGGACCAGATGGAAAAATTATGGGTCACTGGTAAGCTCTCCGACTTGCACAGTTACTCTAATTTTGAAGGAATTCATTGCTTCTAGTCTAATTTATTGCACTTGATAATTAATTACAGGTATGGCTATGTTACTCCTAATGATGTTCCTGAATTGTTGGACCAACATATTTCAAAGGGAGAGGTCATCCAACGAATTTGGAGGTCGGTATTTTTGTGATAATGCATTTTGTATCTTTAACAAAATGTAAATTTGAAGGATATAAGTGCAAAAGAAAACATTTATAATATGATTTTTTAGGTTCTAAAAGTATTCTTCTGTTGAGTACTGAACTATGGTGTTCATTTATCAAAAGATCTCCATACATATTATTGCTTTCATCTTTGGATGATTATCAAATTTTTGACTAGGTATCCTTATCCTTCTCTCCTCTCTTCTGTCCATTATTCTGGTATAAATATGTTACATTGTAGAATGACTAGAGCTCTCTGGGTGGAAATTTTAATTTTTACAGAGGAAGGGAAGATGGGCATTTCCCTAGTTTGATTGTGAGTTTGTGACCTTATTTAGATTTGGAATCTTTGTAATCCATTATATCATGGATTTTCTTGTTTGTAAAATGGAATACAATGATCTTTTCGCTATGCATCTTATACATACCTGTCTATCTATTCATCCTTTTGATAGTATTGGTGTCCACTGGTATTGTGCCCCAATGCTTGATTCTTTTGGAATGGAAAGAAAATTATTAGAAACATTAATATTGTTAAAGGAATCTTTACTAAATAAGTGAGAAATTTCATTTAATTTATCCGAACCCTATAAAATGACATTTTAACCCATGCTTAACTCTCATGTTTGACTATTTCTTTAATTCTTCTACTATATATTGTTGATAGCATGTGGAAAAATGAGGTGAATTATATTTTCCATTTGTTCCAACGTAGGATACTGGTTGGATTTTGTAAATATGACTTTTATTTCATATAAGATATTTATTTTGAGCTAGAGTTGTATGTGATTCCTTCCAATTACAATGTATGCATTCTGATTTGGTATTGAATGGAGTGCAGAGAAAGTTTTATTTATTCCCATGTTATTTTGTGTTGCACTGATGTAACCAATAGGGATCTTCTTTCTTTTTTCTAACTGAAAATATGATAAGCAAGTTACTTGAAGATAAAGTTGGTGCTAATCTTCGAAAAATGTTGGAGAAATTATGTGTTTATTTGACAAGCTTGATGTATGTTAGTACTACTCACTTCTTTATGAGCCATGTTCTTAGTTAAGTAGGCATCTACTTGAGTATAGATATTAATAATATTTTATGAGAGCCACAGTCAAATTTCTTCATATGTGGGCAGTAGTCATTGACTAGTATCTGCTGCTGAGTTACATTTCAGTGACATTAATAAGCCTATAGGTGCTAAATCAGAATTAATGCAGTCTTCCTTCAATCATTTGTCATGATCTTAATTTTCATCCATTATTATGGTTCTGTTTAATGGAATTCATTTTGTTTCCTTTGTCATACACGCTGCTTTTACCATGTAAAATAACCAAGGGAGAAAATATTTGGTTTTTTCATTAAGTAGTATATCGTCTTGGTTACTGTTTAGCTGCTTCATGTAATTTATTGCATCTTCGGCAGTTTCCTTGTAATGGAGGGATATAAGTTAAACTCTTATGAAATCGTTGCAGGGGCCAGATGGGGCCATACATTGTGGAAGTTAATGAAGCATATAACCAGAAACTTGCTAATGGGGAGGATACCAGTGAGGGCAAGAAGCATCACATTGAAAGTGACAATCTGAGCATCAAAGAAAATGTGGCTGGTTGTTGCCAGGGTGTTAATGGGGTTTCTTGTTGCAGAACTGCAAGTCTTGAGCAAAACAATGGGATTGAAGAAACAACTCAAGCACATAAAAAGCAGGGGAGCAAAATCAGTTGGAATTGGCCTGTATTGCAGGAGCATGATATTCTCACTGCTGTTGGTGTTCTTGGAGCTGTGGCAGCTGTGACTGTGGCTTACAAACTTTATAGAAGGTCAGGTTGATTTACCCTGAGTATTAGGTTGCTTGGGAGTTTGTAACCCTGAATTTTTTTGTTTTTGTTTTTTTCTTTTTTGTTGAGGTACAATAAGATAAAGAAATAACTATGAAAACCATTTCTACTAAGTCATAGATAGACTCTTCCATGTGTTGGTTGGAAGTATAGTATTAGTCTAGCAACAGATATAGTGATGCAAACTTTATTGTTCTTTTTAAATTCAACACAATTATGTTGGTTAGCGCTGCTGGACGTTCCAGTATGCTGTGTTTCTTTCCTTACGTTACCTATATTCTATTAATTCAAAGTTCGCTGTGATGGAAGCTTCAGCTGGTTGTTTCTGTTCTTAAGTACAATGCTGTTACACACACTGAATGCAACTAAAGTTTGCCAGTTTGTTTAGATTTTTTAGTAAGTCTCTGGCACACAGTCTAGGTGGCTGATGTGGGGTCGGTGGGGATAAGATGCCCTGGGATCTGGGTGATGTACAGGTAAAAGATATCTGATTATCTTCACTCCATTTTTTGTCTCATTTTTATACATCCATTCTTTGTTATACTGTTTTTACACTTTATAGCAGTCACTTCTGTTCAATAATTTACTAATTTGTATTAATTTTTGAAATATTTTTGGTAACTAGATTTTTAAACAGGGATACACAAAACAGTAAATGCCACTAAGATAAAAATAGATTACTGGTTATTATGTATAGGTGTAGTAATTATAAGTAAGATATGAACTCTGTATAGGCGTAGTAATTAAGTGTATACGTAGTCTATGGATATGTCAACTTTATAAAAAAAATAAATAAAAGGAAAAAAAGTCAAAATTTCCTGATTTTTAAGCACTCGTTTAAAACGAATTACTTCTTTTGAAATTAAATTCTGCCTCAACTCCTGAGCTATAACTCTATTTTTTTTTTTTTTAAATCGGACCTCCATTCTACGCAGTTTTCGGATTTAGAGCTATGATATCAATTTGATAGTTACCAGAAGAGTGATAAAGGGATAAAAGAGGATACAAGGAAAATTGAAGTTGATATTGTTGGAAATGAGATAAAAAGTTGCAGAAATTTGCTTACAACAGTGAAATGAAGTAGAACAAGGTAACAGTGAAATGAAGAACAAGATTACAGTGAAAGGAAATTAACATAGGAGGATAAAGAAAATAATAAGTCAAGTATGTAATCTCATGAGATTTAGACATGTATGTTGTATAATATTCAAGTATGCACGTAAGAGATGAAAGATGAGATTACTTGAGACACAAGTATGTAATTGAGAGCCTATGCAATTAGAATGCTAGATGACTTGACAAGATTTTGAGTATGTATGTTAAGATGTTGAAATGTTAAAGATGAAAGTGTATAATGTGTGAAGTGTGAGAGATTAATACATGTATTAAAAGCATAGATGGATCATAGATTGGAGCCTTGGAATGACTAAGAATTGCCTTATATATGATGATTGGTCAATTAGGTGACGTATGAGAACCATTGAGGGGTTAAAAATCCCATAGAATGACAAAACAAGCAAATTTCGCTCACTACACAGGGAGTAATCAGATATGTAATCGATTAATGCCCTAGCAGAAACTAAACTTAAGATACTGTCTTGAAAATAATCGATTATTTCTTATGATGGTGGGGTAATCTGTTACTTTTCGTGCTGTGATCGATTGCTCCTACTTCTTTAGGCCTAAATCCACTTTTAATGAGTTGTGGTGCCTAATTCAATATAAATGGACCTTAAGTTGAATTAACTTGTCCCATCATGATATGAGGTCTTAGGGTGATTAACCTTGTTTGTAACTTGGTATAGGCTTATGTCACCTAAATGTGAAATGTTTAAAGGAAATGATAGCTTATAATGAGTTTAACACCATATTAGCTTATGGGGATACATGGTGATGATATTAAGTCAATGAAAAATGTTTCCGCGAAATAAATAGGTTATAATTAAAGTATTTGAATTGAATGAGTCCAAAATCAATTTATGATCAGAAAAAAATAAAATAAATTTTATCTATAATTTTAATTCATTTACTTTGATTATAACTGCGCTTAATATCATATGTAATACTAACAAACCGGTCTAAAACGAGATGTTACAGCCCATGCATGTTTTAGTCGCATTATATGTGTAAATAGTTTATCAAAAGAATTAAATCGGTACTATGTTTCATTTTTTGCACTATAAGGGTCAAAAAGCATAAAATAAAGAACTTTGATAGATAATAAATCTTAAATTAAATATGTATTTATTTTCTTTATATATAATAATTTTTTTTAATCTCTGTAATAATGGTGGAGCGAGAGGGGGCTAGGAGGGCAATCGTCCCCTTACACTTTTCAAAATGAACTACTATTATTTCTCACATAGTGCACGAGCAACCATGCTTGATACCGCCCATCTTGTTTTGACAAGAGTTGTTTGCTATGTTTTTCCAAATTTTATCTAAAGGCAATGTTGTTTGAATTACTTTAAGAGATATAAAAATATAAAATATATTGAAAAGATATATAAGAAGAAAGTAGTTTTAGGCATAATAAAGTTTATTGTTTTATTTTCTAGTTGATCTTAAATATATTTGACGTCTATTTAATTATCAACATATAATAATTAAATAAATAAGAATAGTTGAATCAAGATTTAAGAATTGAATAAAAAATAAATTTAAAAATGATAAAGTTGGTTTTATTTTCTAGCTAACTCAAATAAATTTAATGTCTATCTAAATATCAATATAGAGTAAATAAATAAGAATTCAAGAATAAAATTCTAATTTGAAATTTGGATACAAATAAATTTAAACATTATAAAATTTATTTTATTTTCTAGTCAATCTCAAATATATTTTATATCTACCTATATATCAATATCAATCTATAATAATAAAATTGATTTTAATTTATTTTGTAGCGAATCCAATTAATTTGAATTTTTTTAATCAACTAAATAATTTTTATTTAAATTATAAATTTTAAGTTACATATAATTTTAGTCCCTCATAAAAATTCTGGCTCTATCATTATTATCTAAATACAATTTTGTTTTAGTCCCTCCTCATTTTGCTTGATATCCACGTTAACATTAATTAGATTCACGTAGTATGCTTATCTTCCACGTAAGTAGATATTGACAACTTTTGACAAAGATGTGATAGGAGCATGAAAGAAAGAAAGCTTTAAAGGACTACCAATTCATAAAATTTTAAAATAAGGATTCAAAAGAATCAAAATCAAGAATCGTTATATTCAGAGAAAAAAATTACATTGTCTACAAGTTTATATATCACCTATGAAGCACTGACACTTCAAAAATACTGACGTGTTATGTCTGACATTTTTCGACACTCTCTGACACTCCGACACTCCCCGACACTCCAACACGTATTATAGAAATTCAAAAAAAGTTCAAAGGTTGCATTTCGTTAAGTTTTTAGTTTTAACTATTAGATTTGTTGGATTACGATTACCATTTTATTAAATTTAATATAAATATTTAGGATATCTTATGTTTATTTGCAAAATTGATGAATATTATAAGTTTAGTTTCATTTTTTTGTTAAATTATTCAATATTAAATATAATATATACTACATAAGTTAAAAATATTATTTAATATCAAAACGTGTCCTAACGTGTCGAAATCTAACATTTTTTACAATTAACGTGTCAGAGTGTCGTGTCGTATCATGTCACGTGTCCCGTGTCAGTATCGGTGCTATATAGTATATCACTATATAGAAAACAGAAATATTTAGGCTCTGATAACAGTTTTTAAAAACTGTTTTCTAATTTTTTAGAAAAAATAAAATAAAAAAACCCGTTGAGTAAGGCTTGTTTTATAAAATAATAATAATTAAAAACTGTAACTATGTTTTTATTTTTAGAATCAAATTTAAAGAATATGTTTAGGTTGTTTTTGTTTTCTATTTTTGTTTTTAACTTTTAAAATAAAAAAACATAGAAAACACTGGTTTCTATCACTATTTTATAAAACAGTTTTAAAAATAAAAAAAGCAGAACACAAAAGCTTAACACGACTTATTCATTGTATTTTTTCAAAAAAATCATAACTATTTATAATTTTCTGTAATGCAACTTCAAATGTCTTATTGTATTCTCGTCTGTCTTAAGATGACTATCATATTTTGAGAATTGAAACCTCATTTTATAGTTCTTGTGGATGAATTTGTTTCTCCCAAAAGCTTTTCCATATTCTCTTGGAGAGGCAATATAATGGATCCTTCTTATTTGTGCATGGTAAATACTTTCCAAGAGTTTCTCTTTCTAATGTTCAGGGCCTCATGTGAAACTTCATTATGAGTGGTTTTAGATCCTGTTGTGTTTTTAAATAAATAGGTTATGATCTTGTTAGAGAGAGAAAGACACAATTATTATCATACGGGAACCGACCAAGATTGTTTATAGGGTCCACTAGTTATATTAAAAAAACTATAGTTATATTAAAAAAACTATGTCATCAATTAATTGTGATAGTGATTCTGTTTTAAGTTCAACTAGTTTGGGACAAAAGTGCTGTTAATATTGATTTAAAAGAACATAGAATCCTTGATTTTGCTATGAGAATTGAAAGCATTCATAAAATGTATTGGGTATCCAGGATGCAAGCAACAAGTGAAGGTCGAAAGCAATATGTGGCTTACTTAGAAAAAAACAACGCCAGGTGGCAAATTTAGGTCATTTTTTACTCTCATCGGATTCAGACTTTCAAGGTAGCAACATCAGTAAGTGTAAAAGTAAAGCATAACAATCAACTATGATCTCCAAATCGAAACTTAAATCGTTACAAGAAGATCTCTAACCAATCTTATGTACACAGAATGTCGTCAATTCTACATGAGCCTATATGACTGGTACTTTCCTTGTAGTAAATTCCTAAACTAAAATGTCCTAGCCAAAAACATCATTGATATAAAAAAGGTTAAAGAAAAGGGTGATGCTTTACGTATCAGTGAGCTTAAACTTATTCTAACAATCATCCTTACTTGAAATATCATATCATATCATGTATTAAGTTTTGCAACCATGTCCTCTACCAACTTCAACGTAGTCTCAGCCAGTTCCTCTCTTTCTGCATAAATTTCATCCATGATCCGTTCTATATGCTCATGGCTAATTTGTTGACTTCTTGAACTACTATAACTTGAACAATCCCTCAAAAGTAGCAACAATTCCTTAGCTAAATTTTTGGCTCTGCGTGTTCCATCCACGCTTAACTGAAGTAGCCCTGGCATCACTCCCTCTCTCAAGATCAATCCTCTGTATTTTTCTCTGCAACTTTGGCAAATAAGGAGGAGTGTTCCCACTGCATGCTCTTTGCTTTGAGAAGATCCATCTTCAATAGTCTCCACCAGTGTGGGAATTGTTCCCACAATACTAGCAGCTTCACATAATGCACTCTCTGATGAAGAGACAATATGTTCTAGCAACCCAATTGCTTTCTCAACCAATTGAGATGATTTTCCTGTTCTTTGGATCAGTTCAAGCAAGGAAAGGATAACACCTGAAGATACAATCAATGGTGTAATCTCTTGGCAGGTTGAGAGGTTGTGGAGAGTAGCTACAGTGTCAAGCTGGGACTGTGTGCTGCTAGTGCTATTGAGAAATTGAGCTAAGAGTGGGAATGCCCCAGATGAAGCAATTGCTATCTTATTAGCATTGCAAGAAGAGATTGTTAGCATGGAAGCTATTGACAATTCTGCCACTGTTTGGCTCTGGCAATAGAGGAGACTTAGCAACACTGGCAATGCTCCAGACTTGATGATCCGAGTCTTGTTTCTGTTAAATTTGTGAAAAAGTTTCTGTGAGATTTAAGCAACCTGGGAAGGAAACTTTTTAAGGAAATTCGTAAAATTGAAGGAATTTATATTCTCCCTTGTGTTTTGTACATTACTTTTTAGTAAAGGATCATGATGGTAGAATGTACTATTAACAAATGGCAAGCATTATTAATGAGTACATATTCCTTAATTCGACTAACCAAAAAACAAACATGGGGGGCTAAAAAGTTCAAACTTTTTAATTGCTTCCTTGCAATGTTGAATTGGGTAATGTACTATTTCAAAAATAACTTTTGGTTATCAAATTATTCTGTTATGTATGTACTCTTAGCACATGATAATGAAGTTCTTGGTTACACCAAATGAAAAATCTGGAAAAAAAACTGAAGAGAAATAGATGTTCAAAACTTTGCATTCGATGTTGAGTTTGAATGAACTAACCGTTCACTGCCAAAGGCAAGGCTAAGTAGAGCATGCAGAGCAGCTTCAATGGCTTCGTAGTCTTGAGAATGAAGCATAGAAACTAAAGGTACCATAATTCCACTTTCAGCCAAATAGTGCTTCTGTTTTCTGCTTAATTTCCTGAGTTCCATAGCGGCTTGAATTTGCATTTCTCTATTACCGTTCCAAAGGTTTTCTACAACCTCTTTCTCCATTGAAGTTCTCTCTATTTGCTTTCTTCTTTAGCTTTGTCTCACTCAGAAGCTCTACTTATTTTTTGTTAGGCAGTGGTAATTGTAGCCTTGGGATTGGTTGCTTGAAGAGGTAATGTTAAGCTTTTGTTGGTATCCCGATCCATTGTGTCAGCTACAAGCAACATACAATTCTTTTGGTTAGCTTTTTTCTCTTTCGTGAATGTTGGTATTATGAAAAAAACAGAAGGAATGTCAAAATTGCTAAGAGTGAAACTTTAACTTTCCTTACAAATAAGCAAACGTGAACAACTTAATTGGTTCTTTGGATTTTTTTTTCTTTTTTTCTTTATTTAAAATAACTTATAACTAAAATGTTTTGTAAATTAATTTAATCCAAAAGTACAATTAATATTAAAAAAAAAAAAAATTCTTCAGATTTTTTGTCTATACTTTGAAGATATGTTAACATTTCTTCATTATCTAGGATTTTTGTCCCTATGAAGGCATAAGGTTATTTAGTAGGACCTTATGAAGAATATAATAATTGTTAATTACTTTTGTTTATAACATTAACAATATTCATTATGCTTTTCTTGAATTACGCCAAACCCCATTTAATTTTGACTCTTGTTACTACAGAAACCTATAAAACGGAGAGAAATAGAAAAAGAGAGATGAAGAGAGAAAATATGGAAGATCAAGGCATGAGGTCTTGGGAAAGTATGAGAATAACACCAGATTCTGATTCACCAATCGTTTAATTTACCATAGAAGCCATGCAACATTCTAAACATGAATATAAGTGTGATTACATTTTAATACCCCATTAGTGTAATGATTACATTGTATTTCAAAGGTCATATATAAAACCAAAGATCATCATCATATGTATATGGTATATGAATAACCAAAGGTCATTCACATATATAAAATATATATTATTTTTATAATATGATAACAAAGATTTTTATAATATGTATTATTATTATTTTTTTGCTAAGCATAATATGTATTATTTTAAGGGTAAAAGATTTCTCTAGTCACCGGGAATAAAGTTATCTCCATTGAGCTCAAAACGACGTCGTTTTGGAGCTGAAATCAATGTATTTTTGTAATTATAATATATTGCAGAGTTATATTAGTCTTTATTATTATAATTTTTTAATCTTATAACCAAAACGATGTCGTTTTGAGTTCACTGGGTGACTGGAGAAAAACTTTTCCTTTATTTTAATTGGGAAGGGAGAATAGGGAAGGATAAAATAAAATCAATCATTAAATTGTTATTATTAACAATAAATTTGATATTTGTAAATTTACAGAATTCCAAAAATTGTGCTAGACAAATGATAATAATTTATATATTAATTATTATTTAATTGAATAAATTCAATGTTAATTCCTATATAATTATAGTTGCAATATTTATGATATTAATTATTATTGATAATAATAATAATTTATATTTTTGTTGAGTGAAAAGATAACAATAAAAGAAACAGTTTAAAAAAAAGTTTACCAAAAGAAAAAAAGAAAAAAAAAGAATCAGTTGAATTTAGAATAGATAAGCATCTACCGCTCTCGCTAATCACCTTTGCGAGGCTGCCGGGTGCTGTCATATGGCGTACTGGTCTCACTAATTGGGCCACGGCGTTCTAACTATATCATATTGATATACAGTTTTCAACAAGCAATTTTGCAAAAAAATTTTAAAAAATATTATTTTGGTCAAAAAGCCATTATAATTAGATGCTGGTTACGTAACAAATGAGGAAGAATTGGTACATATTTTCACTTTAGCAAGAGAGTTAATCAAAACTAGTAGTTATTATGACCTAAAGGACATGGGCTTAGGGGGAACATGGGCTAATAAAGTTGTTTTTGTAAAAGAAGCTGCTTAAAATTTCCTTCATCATTTCAACTGATGATCATATATATAGAGATTGACTAATAAATTTATTCAAATTTATATTTAAATAAATTATAGATATTGATAAAAGTCAGTGTATCATACTGAAAAAAGCGTTACTTTTAAAATAAGGTACAAGTCTAAAACTATTCGAGAAATGACAATATATACACTTGGGCATGATAAGCACTAATCTTATATCATCCAAAAAAGAAAAGAAAAGAAAAGAAAAGGTACTAATCTTGGAATGAAAGAAACGACAGGACACCAATATTTACCATTGTTCTTGTTAATTGTCAAAATAATTTGATGCAGAGGCACATTAAAGAAATTTTAAAAACCCCCCTTGTAATTTTATTTATAATCATTTATTCTCTTTCTAAAATTTTGAATTATTTACCTCCTTGACTTAAAAGTTATTTATCATTTATCCCTCTAAGTGATAAAAAAAATTTAAATCAGGAAAATAAGTGATAAAAAAAATTAAATAAAAATGTAAATAATTCAAAAATTTTGTGAGGGACAAGTAATAATTAAAAAAAATAGAATTTTTTTTGAAGTTGTCCCTATTAAATATATAGAAACATTTATAAGAGAAATATATCATTGAGAATAATATCAAGAATTCATTTTCTTTCGTGTGGTTTATTTTCACTCTGTTTCTTTCTCTTCTTTCTGAAGTTTCTCCTTCAGTGATTTAGAATTTTTCGTATAAACTTTAGAATTGGTGCTTTCATGACGAACAACATCATTGCCATCATACAGCTGGAGGTAGGGCTGTGCATGGGTCAGGTCGGGTCAGGTTTTTGTCCGACTCGACCCAACTTAGTTTTAATAGGTCAGGTATTTTGACCCGACCCGCTTTAATTTGATCCAAGTCAGGTCTGACTTGGATTGGATTTAGTTGAACTAGTTCAGAACCAGTTTGGATCTCACCTGACTTAGTTTCTGAAGTGGGTCTGACTTAGTTTCTGAACTGGGTCAAATCTGACCTGACCCGTTTTTGACTTGGTTTTCTCACAAAATTTTGTCGAAATTTTTACGTTGCAAAAGACGAAAATTTTGTCACAAAATTATATTTTCGTCGAAATTTTTACAAAAAAAAATTTTCTATTGAAATTTAGTTTCCGTCAACAGTTTTGACGAAAATGATTTCTTCCATCAAATGTTTTAAACGAAAAAAGAATTTTGTCAAAAAATTTGACGAAATGTTTTTCGTTCAAAATTTCGATGGGAATGTGTTTTGACGAAAATTTTGACGGAGATTATTTCGAGGGAAATGTTTCATTTGAAGCTTTCGACGAAATTTAGATTCTCTAAAGAATTTTGACAGAATATTTTTTTTCGTCAAAATGGTTTTTCTGTCGAAAAAATTTAAGGAATTTTTTTTATAGAAATGTGTTTCGTTTAAAATTTTGATGGAAATTTTTTATCAAAAAACTTGACGAAAATATTTAGTTGAAAATTTTCGATGGAAATGTGTTTCGCTAAAAATTTTGACGTAAATTTTTTTGTCAAAAAATTTAACGAAAATTTTTTCGTCGAAAACTTTTGCCGAAATTTGAAATCTGTAAAGAATTTTGATGAATTTTTTTGCCGTCAAAATTTTTTGATGATGAAAATGTTTCAGTCGAAAATTTTCGCTAAAATTTGAAATCTGTAAAGAATTTGGATGAAATTTTTTGCCGTCGAAATTTTTTGATAACTAAAATATTTCTGTCGAAAACTTTCGCCGAAATTAGAAATCTGTAAAGAATTTGGATGAAATTTTTTGCCGTCAAAATTTTTTGATGACGAAAATATTTCCGTCGAAAACTTTCGCCGAAATTTGAAATCTGTAAAGAATTTTGATGAAATTTTTTGCCGTCAAAATTTTTTGATGACAAAAATATTTCCGTCAAAAACTTTAGCAGAAATTGGAAATCTGTAAAGAATTTTAATGAAATTTTTTGCCGTCGAAATTTTTTTATGGAAATGTGTTTCGTCGAAATTTTAAATGGAAAATGTTTCATTTGAAACTTTCGACGAAATTTAGATTCTCTAAAGAATTTAGACAAAATATTTTTTCATTCAAAATTTCTTATCGAAATATTTTTGTTAAAAAATTTTACGAATTTTTTTACAGAAATGTGTTCCGTTGAAAATTTTGATGGATATATTCTTTATCAAAAAACTTGACGAAAATATTTAGGCGAAATTTTTTGATAGAAATGTGTTTCGCTAAAAATTTCGACGAAATTTTTTTTTGTCAAAAAGTTTAACGAAAATATTTCCGTCGAAAACTTTCGCCGAAATTTGAAATCTTTAAAGAATTTTGATGAAATTTTTTTCCGTCAAAGAATTTCGATGAAAATGTGTTTCGTCGAAAGTTTTTATGAATATATTTTTTTGTGAAATATTTTGACGAAATTTAGATTCCGTAAAAAAATTTGACAAAAAAAACATTCCGTCAAATTTTTTTACCGATATGTTTTTAGTCACAAATTTTGATGAAAATATTTTTCGTCAAAAATTATTGTGAAAATTTTTATGAAAATATTTTCCATAAAAATTTTTGACGTAATTGTTTTACGTTAAAACTTTTCTTTTAATGTAATTGTGATTTTTTTTTCACATAATGTGTATGGGTCAAGTTTTGGGTCAGTGAGTCAATATTAAAACGAGTCAGGTCTCAAACTGACCCAAATAAAAGTGGGTCAGTATTTAAACCAGTTCAAAAAATATGGGTATTTATGGGTCGGGTCAAGGTCGGATCAAGGGCAGGGCAAGTGAACCAATTTTTTTGCACACCCCTAGCTGGAGGAGCTCTCTGATGATGATTTTGCTTTGCAAACAATTGCCAAAAGACCTCACTTCTTTCAGGTTGAAGATGGAACATGGTTTTGATAAAAACCAAAAACAATTTTCTTGGCTTATCATCGCTGCTGCAACATATAAATGAGTCTATAGGCTTGCTATGAATGCTCTCCTTGTACCACTGGTCATGAGTGTTGGAATTTTTGATTCCTCTAAACTTTATGGTGATAACTATCACCCACAAGCCAAGATCCATCATACCAAATCATAAAAAAAAATAAGAACAACATAAAGGTGGAGGAATACCTGTCTCCATTGCAGCAGAATAACTTTGATCTTGTCTATTGGGGTTTGTAGTCTTCCTCAGTCAAATCACCCTAAAACCTTATTCCTTAGTGTGCCGTCTCTGTCTTGATGGGGAAGAGAAACTAGGGTTGTTCATTTGACGTCTTGGGGACCATAACCCTTTATAGTGTTTTTATCCTTATTGTTGGGCCAATAAGCTCCCATTATACCTAGTTGGCCCAACACCGATATCCACTCATTCAGCCCATACTCACTTAGGAATCTATTTGGGAATATTTAACTAATCACTTTAGTTTACCCAATATATATAAATAACACAATATAATATTATATTATAAAGGAATTTCATTCTGTGGAAACCTTGCTGACGTGTCGCACTGTGGTTCAATTTCACCATTGTGTTCACACTACAACATTTAAAAAAGTTTCCTTTAATGGTAAATCGGTGAATATAATAAATACAAAAAAAAATTATATTTTCAATTGACAGGATTTGTTACTTTAAATCAATGGTCAAGATTGCTTATTCATTGATTTATAACTACTAAATCACTCTTTTGTCGTCATATTTGTTTTTTAAATAATTGATGTTGATCATGTAATCTAATAGTTTATTTAACCTTTATTCAGTTTAATTCAAATCTTTACGTTTTTTGAAAAAAACGGGATATTCATTGTTATTAAAACAAATGACTGTTTTATTCCATTAAATGACTGTTAAAAAAACGGGATATTCATTGATTTATAACTACTAAATCACTCTTTGTCGTTATCTTTGTTTTTTAAATCTTTATTCAGTTTAATTCAAAAACTTCACATTTTTTAAAGAATACAATTCTATTTACTCGAAAAAAAATTAATTAGTAAAAAAAAAATAATTATACATATCCCGACCTTTGTTCCTTATTTTCAGATTTTTAAATTTGAATCTTTTATTAACCTCTTGATTCAGTGGAATCAGGTATAAGTGTTTTATTCCATGAAAATCTCATTTATAACTACTCAATCACTCTTTTGTCGTCATCTTTGTTTTTATAATAATTGATGTTGATCATGTAATCTAATCGTTTTATTATCCTTTATTCAGTTTAATTCAAATCTTTACGTTTTTTGAAAAAAAAGAGATATTCATTGTTATTAAAACAAATGACTGTTTTCTTCCATGAATTGACTGTTAAAAAAAACGGGATATTCATTGATTTATAACTACTCAATCACTCTTTGTCGTTATCTTTGTTTTTTAAATCTTTATTCAGTTTAATTCAAAAACTTCACATTTTTAAAAGAATACAATTCTATTTACTCGAAAAAAATTAATTAGTAAAAAAAAAATTATACATATCCCGATCTTTGTTCCTTATTTTCATATTTTTAAATTTGAATCTTTTATTAACCTCTTGATTCAATCGAATCAGGTATGAGTGTTTTGTTATTAAAACAAATGACTGTTTTATTCCATGAAAATCTCATTTATAACTACTGAATCACTCTTTTGTCGTTATCTTTGTTTTTTAAATCTTTATTCAGTTTAATTCAAAAACTTCACATTTTTATAACTACTGAATCCCAACGCATTTCTTTTCCTGAACGTATCGAGCTAAAAAATTGCATTTCTTGCAGCAAGGTATCGAGCTAAAAAACCAAAAAACCATATCATTTGAAGACCAAACTGCTACAGAGACAATATCAAAATGAGCAAATACAAATCAGAATTCCATACTCCTTCAAGGAAAAGAAGAAACAGAGGTCTGAGTGAATCATCTAGGTTGACTGCAACAGACAATCAATTCTCATTTTCACAACTAAATAATTTTACTCATTAATTTTACTCATTGCTGTGTAGAACAACTTTTGTGGTTTTCTCCCTCTACCGATGGCAGGTAATTTTATTTTGTCATTTATGTCATTCATGGTTTGTTGATTTTTTAAATTTAACTGCGAAACTTCTTTAGTGGATTTTGTTATTGCCCCATATTTAAAACATGTAGACTTTCAAAGGTGAGCAATATTCAGAATGATATAAGCTCCAACAGACAACGACTGCATAATATTACAAACGGTTTGTTACTCTTTTATACCAATTGGACAGCTTTAGCAACGTTATACTATTGGAAGTTTGATTTATTATTTTTTCGATTTTGTATTGTTCCCAGTTGGTACTGCGCATAGCATGCCACGTGGTTGTGATTATAATAAAATAATATCTAATTCCTACCAGCCAAACGTTGTGGAATCGTTTCCTTTGAATGGTGCGTGCGAAGGCTTTCCTCAATGATACCTTTCAAGGCGGAAAGGTATCATGTTCCAAAAGAAGACTTCTAAGCAATATGTCAAGATAAACAATATACCAAAGATGCTTGACTTGACAGGTAATTCGTCTTTGATTGATTTTACTACAACCATGAATTATAAGAGGATAATATATGTAATGTATTAACTATTTTTTCACTTACCATCATTTCGACTATATTATTTATTCCGCATTGGACTTTTTCATATAGGGATTGATGTGAACAGTGAGAATTCAGTGCTTTCAACCGTTACTGCGTTCAGTGATGAAAACTATATATCACGGTATCATTATACCTGTGAATACTTTTTTGGGAACACTATGTTGTAATTAAATATTTTTACATGCACCTCCTTCGTTGACGTCATATAAATTCATTAAAGCCTTTTTTTTATCTGTGACATACAATGTAGTTCCCCATATGATAACGGTACAAGTACGACTTCAGCTGATTTGGATCAACAAAGTGAGTTTAAACACCTGTCACTGTTTGTATTGGATTTTTAAAATGCAAGCACGAATGCTTCTATACGAATGGTAACTGGAAAAAAATAATAGTAAATTAATTATTTTGAGCGTTGTTTATTCTCTAAATTTATTATTTCCAATTTTCTATTGTTTAATTGCAAATTAAATGTCTGAATGATAAATGTTATACTCACCGATTTTTTACATAGCATATTCAAGAACAGTTGTTTACGACTTATACTTGTGCTCATTTGCTTAATTAAATGCGCTGGGAATAAATTTATTTATATTAGAATGTCTTTTATTATTTTTGTTACCTCTTGCTTTGTGTTACAGATACTGATAACAATGAATAAGAGAACATGATGGGCTCTCTTTCTATCGATTTTAAATTTTCAGATATTAAATCACAACTCTTTGTTCGTGATGGGCTCTCTTTTTAGTTTTTTTTATTACGTTTTCCTGTTGTGTTATATATATGGATATGGATGATTCCAATGTGCCATTTTTTTTATTTTTTACAGATCATCTTGGAGAACATTTGTCTGCAACTTATACTCAATATGGTGAGCACAAATCCGATTTAATACGCAGTTAAAAATATTTTTATATTAAAAATGTCTTTTGTTATTTTTGTTACATTTTTGCTTTGTGTTACAGATACTGATGTCAATGACTCCAGTGTGCCAACTATTACCTCTATCCATCAAGGTCTTTATATTAATTTTCAATTTTCAATTTTCAAATATTGAATCACAACTCTTTGTTCCTGTTGGCCTCTCTTTTTTTAGTTTTTCATTCGTTATCCTTTGTGTTACAATTATGGATATAGATGATTCGAATGTGCCAATGTAGTTTTTTTTTACAAAGTATTTTTTTATAGTCTACTATTTATGGTGAAAACGGTGCTCATTTGGTTCATCTAATACATGAAAAAAAATTGTGTTCACATGTCTTTTTTTTTCAATCATTTTTTCTTTCTATTATAGATATTTATATAAACAATTTCAATGTGCGAAACACGTTTTATATCAATGGAGGTCTTAATTATAATTTCAAATTATATATTTGCTGTTACAAATAAAAAACTTCCTGTCTGACAACCAAGCTTATTTCAATCTAAAAATATTTGTATATGTTTAGATTATTGGGACGCAGGGGATCCTACTTTTGTTTGCGAGCATTGTGGAGCACAAATGTGGTATGCAGAAAGAACTAAGAGGGATCGTAACCCAAGTATGCCGCAATTTGGATTGTGCTGTGTCAATGGAAAAGTTCAACTTCCTTTGTTAAAAACTGCTCCGGATACATTGCTTCAATTGCATGCTAATTCCAATATGACGAGCCGCCATTTTTTGCGAAATATTAGAGCGTACAATATGATTTTTTCCTTCACCTCCTTTGGAGCAAAAGTGGATGGATCAGTAAATCAAGGTTCTGGCCCTTACTGTTTTAGAGTTGGGGGGAGAGTTCATCATTTAATTGGCAGTCTTCTGCCTGCTGATAGTCAGTCTCCAAAATTTGCTCAACTTTATATTTACGACACTGAGCATGAAGTGGACAACAGACTTGGTTGTCTAAGGTATATTTTTTTTTTTTGACCCAATTCTCATGTTTCATATGTGGAGTATCTTTTTATGTTGAGTAATATGAATGACAATTTTTTTATTTATTAAATTTGCAGTTCCACCAGTACTGAAGATATGCTTGATCCTGAAATTATCCGATTATTGAAGGAGATGTTCGATAAGCACAACAGTATAGCTCAGTCTTTCAGGTACGCTAGAGACCGTTATAAGGAAGATGACTTTAATGGTGTAAAGTTGAGGCTTATTCGAAGGCGTGGTAGTGATGGAAGAGTTTATAATCTTCCGACAGCATCCGAAGTGGCAGCTTTGATTGTTGGAGATATAGACAGTGCTATGGGCGATAGGGATATCATTATTGAAACACAAGATAGAGTATTGCAGCGCATCGATGTGAAGCATCCTATATCTTGGCTTGCAGTATCCATTGTTATTTCCATACGGTGAAGACGGTTATCGTGATGATGTCCAGCGTACTGTATCCAGTGGTAGGAAAAATGCAAGAGCCATGATCAGCATGAAGGAATTTTTTTCGTTTAGACTTCAGATGCGATCTGGAGAATCAGAAATTCTACATCGATCAAGGAAACTTTTCCAACAATTTCTGGTTGATGCATACACTATGATTGAGTTTGAACGGCTTAATTTCATTCGATATAACCAGAGTCATCTGAGAGCTGAGTTGTACAAAAATATAAAACATTCATTAGATAGCGGTGAAGATGCAGCACTGAGCACTGGAAAACGTATCATTATACCTTCTTCATTCACAGGCGGACCTAGATATATGGCTGAAAATTGTAAAGATGCTTTCGCAATTTGCCGTTGGGCTGGATATCCTCATCTTTTTATAACAATTACCTGCAATCCTAAGTGGCCAGAAATTACACGATTTGTTAGGGCCAGACAGCTGAACCCTGAAGATCGGCCTGATATTCTATGCAGAGTCTTCAAGTTCAAATTGGACCAGTTGCTACATGATTTAAAAAAGGAAAATATTCTTGGCAGAGTCATTGCATGTAAGTATATTATAAACTTGATACTCTTTTTGTTAACTGGATTTTATACAAAAAAATTTACGTCATGCATTGAATCTTTCTATAACGTTGTTGTATTCTTATTATTACTTATGTTATATTCTTTGAATGTAACAGATGTTTGTACAATCGAATTCCAAAAGCGCGGACTACCTCATGCTCATATTCTTCTATTCTTGAACCCTTCAAGCAAAGCTGAAAGTGCTCTTGATATTGATAAATTGATTTCAGCGGAGATACCTGACAAGGAAACGAATCCTACGCTGTTTATGGCTGTCACGAGTTACATGATACATGGTCCATGTGGTCCTGAAAATTACAAATCTCCTTGCATGAAGGACGGACGGTGTTCAAAAAAATTTCCAAAAAACTTCTGCTCCCGTACTTTGATTGACGATGATGGATTTCCTCATTATAAGAGAAGAAATGATGGGAGAGTTGTGAACAAAAATGGTGTTGAACTTGATAATCGTTATGTTGTGCCCTATAATGCACACCTTCTTTTAAAGTACCAGGCTCATATCAACGTTGAATATACTTGCCAGAGAAGTGCCATTAAATATCTTTTTAAATACATCCACAAAGGGAATGACAGAGTGACAGCTGCCATAAATCATTCAGACGATGAAATAAAAATGTTTTATGACTGCAGGTACTAAAAATAATCTCCATTGTGTTTTACTTTCCTACAAAATTGGCACAATTTTTTTGAGAAATTATTAACTTAAATGTTCACCGATTTATTTATTTATGATAGGTATGTCTCCGCATGTGAAGCAGCTTGGAGAATATTTGGATTTGACATTCATTCGAGATATCCCCCTGTTCAGAGATTGCCATTTCACTTGCCTAATGAAAAGAACATTATTTTCAGTGATAATGATTCGTTGTATGATGTAAAGACAAGGGCGGAGTCTAGACTGTCAATTTTTGAGTCTTGGATGGATGCAAATAAAAAATATCCAGAAGGTAGGCATCTAACTTATGGAGAGTACCCGACTGAATTTGTTTTCAAAGAAAAAACGCATGAATGGAATCCGAGAAAAAAAGGATTTTCCATTGGAAGGATAAATCGTTTTTCTGCCAATAATGGAGAAGATTCATATCTTCGCACCTTGCTTAATTTTCAAAGAGGTTGCACCAGTTATGAAGATCTTAGAACGATCAATGGCGTGGTTTTTCCTACATTTAAGGATGCGTGCTATTCTTTAGGACTTCTGGATGATGACAATGAGTACATTGATGCAATTAAGGAGGCAAGTTCCTGGGGATCTGCTGCTTATCTTAGATGTCTGTTTGCTCTGTTGTTATTTGCCAACTCAATGAACAGACCTGAAAAAGTTTGGGAAGAGTGTTGGAAATTTTTATCCGACGACGTTGTTTATCGGCATAGGAAAAGAATAGGACGTCAAGGTACGTGTTATAATAATATTTCATACAATTTTTTTTTGTTTAACCGAAATCAGCATATGCTGCCTTAGTACTTATTAGCTTTTTTTGCCCGTATTCAGCAAATGTTGCTTTAGTGCTTATTTTGTTTTTTTTTTGCCCGCATTCAGCAAATGATGCTTTAGTACTTATTTCGCTCTCTTTTCTTTCTTTGATTACTTTATCTTTGTTAATTTTTTAATTTTTTTTCCTTTGAATTTTATGCTTTGTCAGATGCAATTCTTACAGAAGAGTCTATAAAAAACATAACTCTTGAAGAAATTGATAAGGTACTGCAGAGCAATGGGAGATGCCTCTCTGATTATCCGTCAATGCCACGCATCAATAGTGAAACTTTGCTTGATATGCAAAATCGATTAGTGTTGGATGAATTAATGTATGACAGATTTGCTTTGGAAAAGGAGCATAAAAGACTAATTAATTCCCTCACTGATGAGCAGAAAGCTGTTTATGATAAAATTGTTTCAGCAGTTACGGCAGGTAATGGAGGGTTATTTTTCCTATACGGGTTCGGTGGTACAGGAAAAACATTTATTTGGAATACTCTTTCAGCATCTATTAGATCAAAAGCTGGAATCGTACTTAATGTTGCTTCTAGCGGAATTGCTTCCCTTCTGCTTCCTGGAGGACGAACAACGCATTCTAGATTTCGTATTCCTATTCAAATCAATGAAGATTCAACGTGTAATATAAGGCCGAAATCTACTATAGCTGAGTTGCTGTCAAAAACAAAGTTAATCATTTGGGATGAAGCTCCAATGGTACATAGATTTTGCTTTGAGGCTCTGGATAGGACACTGAGAGATGTTCTTAAAATTTCTGATACAAGCTGTGTTGATATGCCATTTGGTGGAAAAGTTGTTGTTCTAGGAGGTGACTTTCGGCAAATATTACCTGTCATTCCTCATGGCAGCATACAAGATATAGTTCATGCAACCATCAATTCTTCTCATCTATGGTCCCATTGTCATTTATTAACTTTGACCAAGAACATGCGTCTTAATTCTGGAAGTAGCGCTCACAATTTAGAGGAAATAAAAGAATTTTCTGAGTGGCTACTTAAAGTTGGGGATGGTAATCTTGGAGATGATGTTGATGGAGAATCTATTATAACAATTCCAGATGAATTGTTGATTAGAGAATCGGAAGATCCGCTGTCGGATATGGTTAATTTTGTTTATCCGAATCTCTTGGATAATATTTTGGATCAGACCTTCTTTAAAGAACGTGCTATTCTAACTCCTAAATTGTCCGATGTTGCTATGCTAAACGAGCACCTAATGTCTATGATTCCTGGTGAAGAAAGGACTTTTTTGAGTTCGGATAAAATTCTTAAGCAAGGTGGGACTTCCTCTGTTGAGGATGATGAAATCACCCCCGAGATCTTAAATACATTATCATGCTCAGGGATTTCTGATAATAAATTAATCTTGAAAGTTAAAGTTCTAGTAATGCTATTAGGAAATATTGATCAGTCGAGAGGTTTATGCAATGGCACGAGATTGCTTATTACAAAATTAGGGAATCATGTTGTTGAGGCAATTGTACTTACAGGAAGCAATATATGGGAAACTGTGTTAATCCCTAGAATGACGATGAGCCCATCGAGTCATACATTTCTTGTAAATTTCCAAAGAAGACAATTCCCCCTGATTGTATCGTTTGCCATGACTATCAAAAAGAGTCAAGGACAATCACTTTCACATGTTGCAATTTATCTCCCTAAGCCTGTCTTCACTCATGGGCAATTATATGTGGCACTGTCTAGAGTAAAGAGTAAGCATGGATTGAAGATATTGATACTTGATGAAAATGGCTGCGTTACGAATAGTACCCTTAATATAGTTTACAAGGAAGTATTTCAAAGACTGCTATAGTATATTGGGTTCTTTCTTCAAAGATATAACTTCGTTGTATGGTACAGGTAAAGACAAAAAAAATGACTGTTTATTCGCGTCTCTTTTCCTTATCTATCTTCAAAGATATGACCTTTATTATCCTATTTTCTTTCCTATTTTTAATGTAACAATGAATGACGGTTTTGTTATTTAAAAAAATGACTGTTTGGGACCTTTGAAATACTGACAAAATGAGTTCGGCCCGGAGGGCCGACCCACCATGCCAAACAAACCAATTTTTTTTCTCGTGCATCGGCACGGGTAATTCACTAGTATAGATATAAAGGAATGAAAAGACATAAACTTATATTTTTAAAAAGACTAATAGTTTTTTCACACACACACATATATATATATATATATATATATATGGAGAATATTCTTACTACCAAAATTTTCTACTACTAACTTACTACCTATCTAATCACCATTGAATCAAAGAGAGAATGCTAAAAAAAAATTGAAAAAAGAGAAAATGTTGATCTAATGGTGATTAGATAGGTAGTGAGTTGGTAGTAGAAAATTTTAGTAGTAAGAATATCCCTCCTCATATATGTATAAGAGTAATGTACTTCTGCTGTTATTGCAGAATAAAATTTTTATAACAACACATAAAAAGTCAAAATATGCTGACGAATTTTGTTTTTTTTTTATAAAAAAAAAACAAATGGATCTCACTTTTTTATGTTTGCTCGACCAGAAAAAGTGACATAGTGACAGTAGAAAAAAGACACTTGTATAGAAAGAAAAAAATATTTGTTCTGCAGAAGTTTTTATCTGCTGTACACTTTTTATTCCGTTAAGTATGTATATAGACAAAATTTTTGACACGAACTATGAGTGTGTTTGAATGTGTTTTTGTTTTTTTGTTTTTAAAACCTGTTTTGAGAATGAAGTTTGAAAATTGATTTTGAGAGTAAAAAAACAATAAAACTTGTTTGAATATGGTTAGTTTTAAAGTTATAAGGAAGATGTAGTTATTTACAAAAATGTCATTAATGAATCCTCGTATTTACAAAATTGCCACCGCAAAACAATGTAAAATAAAATAAAAATCGATCTAATTATGAAAATGCCATTAATGAATCCCCTTATTTACGAAAATGCCACCGCACTTTACAAAAAACCAGAAAACAACCTTGGAAACACTCTGGAGTTGTTTTGCTTTTTCTGTTTCTAAAACCAAAAAACAAAAACGGTTTTTAAAACACGATGACTGAAAATAGTCTCTTCAATCAAGTTCTTTTATTTTTTTGTTTTTAAAAACAAAAAACTGTTTTACAAAACAGTTAACAAGCAGGCCCATGTACAAAATCACCATATAGATGAAATGCATCGGAAGGAAAATGATAGGTTGTCTTATTGACAATAACACAAAGCCTATACACACTAACAATATTATTGAAAATCTGAACTTTCATGTCTCATAGCAGATATGCAGGACATGTTCAAAGCCAAGGAGAATTGTAAATGGGAGTTACAACAGATTTAACTTGTAGATACTTGTGAAGGGCTTCTAATCCATAATCTTTTCCAAATCCACTCATCTTATACCCTCCAAAAGGAACATCATCCCCGAAGGCAAAATAGCAGTTGATCCAAATAGTGCCTGCACGAATGGACCTTGACACTGTGTTTGCTGTATCTATGTTCTTTGTCACAATGCCTGCTGCTAGGCCATATCTGGTATTGTTAGCACTCTTAATTGCTTCCTCGATGGTCCTGTTTTTCATATATCATAATCCAGTATTCCGGGAACACTTTTTTTTAGTACTAAAATTACAATAATAATTAACAAGAAAAGCTATAAAATGATGACAAAAATAAACTTACTTAAACTTCTTCAGTGCCATTACAGGGCCAAATATTTCATCCTGAGCTATAAGCATATCATCCTAAAGAAGTAGTTTTACAAAAGAAAACATGATAGTTAGTTCTCTAATTATGCTGAAGATAGCCCAATTTGATACCTTCTTGGACTTTGAATTCACCTTTATATTGGAGAAGATTGTCGGCTGAATGAAGTAGCCCTTGTTGCCCACTGTCTTCCCCCCGGTCAAAAGGGTAGCTCCTTCTCTTTTTCCATGTTCGATATATGAAAGAATTTTTTCAAATTGTTTCTTGTCAACCTACAGTATGCAGAAAATTGTTAGCCAACAGATCATGATCCTAATTACTTCTCTCATTTTTGTTTTCTGAAGTTGCTAAGCAATTTTTGAAATATAGATTAAAAGTTGGGGAGTCACAAGAAAACAATCGATATATATATATATATATTTTAGAACTAGTGAGGAAATAGTTGTATCACTATATATTTCCTTACCTGAGGCCCTTGCTGAACTTTAGGATCAAAGGGATCCCCAACAACCCAAGCTTCCGCTTTCTCTACCAATTTTTTCTCTAATTCATCATAGATCCCTTCTTGAACGAACACACGGGAACTTGCAACACAAACTTCTCCCTGTAGTCACAAAGGTATAAACAAAATGTTGGTAGAGATATAACTTAATGCTATATGAAAAGAAATGATTTCTTGAAAGGAATTTCACCTTGTTAAACAGGATGCCAAATAGAGCAAGCTCGGCAGCTTTGTCTAAATCAGCATCATCAAAAATTATGAGGGGTGATTTGCCTCCTAATTCAAGTGAAACATGTTTCAAGTTACTCTTAGCTGCAGCTTGCATTACCTCACGACCTACTTCTGTTGAACCAGTAAAGCTGACCTGAACATACCACCAAGGCAATTTAAACATTCTTATTTAAGACCATATAGTACTTCAAATATTGTTTGTCATGTAAATTACTGCATCAATGTCCATGTGTGAGGTTATTGCAGCACCAGCAGTTGGGCCAAATCCGGGTACTACATTGAGTACTCCATCTGGGATTCCAGCCTTCAAAAGGAAAAATAAGTAGCATCCAATCAACTTATGCTCAAGTAACTTGTGAGATCCATACTTGATAAAAAAAAAAATGAATCATTAGTTCAATCATACCAATTTAGCTAGATGAGCATAGAACAAAGCAGAGAGAGGTGTTTGCTCAGCTGGTTTGAGGATCATGGTGCACCCTGCAGCTAAAGAAGGGCTAACCTTGATGAAGAACATGGAAGAAGGGAAATTCCAGGGAATTATATGCCCCACAACGCCAACTGGTTCCATCAATGTATAAGCATGGAACTCCTGTGACATTTTTAATACCTCTCCATGAATTTTATCAGCAGCACCTGCATAGTAACGTAGGGTGTTTGCTGCTCCAGGAATGTCTAGAACCTTACACATATGATACAACTTGCCAGCATCAATGGCATCTAGTGCTGCTAGTTCTTCTGTGTTTTGATCAATTAGATCTGCCCATTTCATCATAATTTTCGCTCTCTCCTGATTATTACATTCATGAATGCCATGTTAATTTTTTTTTGGTAAACAATGCCATGTTAATTTTAATATGCTGTAAAATAGTATGAAAATAACAGATGGGAAAATTCCTGTAACCATGATGCTGCAGTATCCTATTCAGTAGTAGTGAATAGTGACCTTCGATTTTGTGTTTTGTCCAGAATGAGAATTCAAACGTGAATAATGAAGTTTAACGTTTGTTAGAAATATACTAAGCGAGGCCTATATAATCAAAGGCCTATAAATTTTATGTATCCACATCCATGATAGATAGTTTGTAATCTTGTTTATTTGTTACTCACCAATTTTCTCTGGTGCTTTCTAAATCAACTTTATTTATTAGCGTAACTATTAAAGGATTGAATGTACGGTTTTCAATGGAAAATAATGGTTGTACGTACGTCATATTTTTTTACACACACCTATTTAGGGAAAAAAAAGGTGGGGATAAAAACTGGCGTTTAAATGCATGATACCTTTTATTTTATTAAAAAAGAGGAAGTAAAAATTATGTGATAAAAATGGGCAAATAATCAAATGGTGATAAATCAGTTGGTAGTAAGGGAGTTAAGTAAGTGGAAAGAAAATGGTCTCGATTGTATTTTCACATGTCATCTTAGGGAGAGGTTTAAATATCTTTATTATAACCCATCTCGGACTCCAGATTAGCCTCATAACTGGTTCAAAGAATCAACACTTATCGAGATAGGGAGGGGAGGCAAATAACATTTTGGTATATAAAATGAGGGTTTTTTTTCTCTCTCACGGTCACGGAGTTGGAGAGGAGCAAGTTTTCCTCCAAAGTCATGTTTTGTGGGACCCACAATTTAAAAAAGAAAGAGAAACATGGAAATCAAAGGGTAGGTAGGAGATAGTTTTCTTGTCCTAAAATATAATATAAGAATGATTCATTTTTTTTTTCAGTCAATGTAAATAAATTATTTATATTGGATCTAAAATGATGTCGTTTTGGAATGAAAATTAAGATATTTTTGTAATTATAATTTATTTCAGGGTTATAATAATCTTTCTCATTATAATTTTTTAATTTTTCAAGCCAAAACGACATTATTTTGAGATTAAATATAGATAACTTATTTACATTTACTATAAAAACGTTAAAGCCATATAAGAATTATATTATCCATAAAATGATACTATCGACATACCAAACATCCTGGATTTCATTGTTTTAGAATTACTTTTACCCAAAAAAACAATAAAAAAAGGGTTTGGTGTTTGTCATTTTAAATGACATAAGTTATGTTATTTTAGGAGAGAGATAGACACAGAAAAACAGAAATCATGGAAGAGAGAAAGTGAGTGGTTTTTTTTAATTTACAATTCAAATTTTCTATGTCTGTATCTCTCTTAAAATGACATAACTTTCTGTCATTTAAAATGACAAACACTTTTTCCATAAAAAAAATCATGGTTTTAGAATTAAATACCTCAAGTATAACATAAAACCTTTGATATTAATTATAGAAAAATATTTTTGCAGTTATTGCAGATAAATTATCTGTATTTACTCTCAAAATGATGTCATTTTGGGAGTGAAAGATTAAAAAATTATAATTATAAAAACTATAATAACCTTGAAATAAATTAAAATTACAAAAACACAATAATTTCTGCCTAAAACGATGTCGTATTGGACTTACTGCATATAACTTATCTCCAATAATTGCAGAAAAAGCGAACCCTATTAATTATTTACGCAGTAGTTCCAATATAAACCGTCCATGGGCATCTTCATTTTTTTGGATGAATTGTCAAAACTAATAAAACAATAATATTATTATATTTATTTTTAGGATTTATTCAAAGATAAATACTTGAGAATAAAAAAAAGAGTCAATTTAAAAGTGGCTTGCATCTGTTATGTTGAATTAACATGAACACAAGTTGACTTTTAAGTTTTTATGTTTTATGAAAAATTTCTTAACGTAATATTGAAAAGGATCTATATTTCATTTATGGCTTTAATATTTCTAAACGAACGTAGATGAGTTATTTATATTCTTTTCCAAAACGACGTTGTTTTAGGTTAAAAATTATAATAAGAAAGACTATTATAATCCTGAAATAAATTATAATTACAAAAATATTGTGATTTTCATCCTAAAATAACGTCATTTTGAGCTTAATGTAGGTAATTTATCTATATTAATTAAAAAAAATGAAATCTTCATTGAGAAAAAGTCATTTTGAAGATGAGTAAACTTGATATTGATTTTCTAGAAAATATACACTAACAAGAATTAAAATTTACTTTTAATCCTTACTATTTTTTGGTTTTTCAAATCTTAATGAGCCTTTAAATGAAGTATTTGCCCCCTCATGAAATGCCATTTGTGTTGAGGAAAATCCAATAAAAATAACTAATGAGCGTTTTTAAAACTTAGTTCAATTGATCTAATTGAACGTCGTATATAGCAGTGAAATTGATTGGTTGATTCAAAAGCAGTGGAAATTAATAAAAATCCGGAAATTGAATCAGTTTCAAAATGTATATATAATTTTTTTTTGAAAAACAAAAAATCAGATTTAACTTAGCCAAAAAATGAATTGAATTATGAACTTTTCTAATAAGTCAGTCTTTTTTGGTTATATAAATTTAAAAATTCTCTAAATTAAATCAGATTATAAAATGAATAAGTAAGAGTATATTAACCTTTAAATTATTTAATTAATTAAAATTAATAATACATATAATTTTAAAAAGAAAATATTACTCGTTTCCAACTTGAGATTATATAAAAAATATACAAGAATAAAAAAAGCATTTTATTATTACTTAATTAGAAAGAAGGAAATGAAAATAAAATGGAGAGCCATGGAAATGAATAGAAAAGAAAAATATATAATCAGAGAAGGGAAAAATTAACGTACAGCGCCGGGCAGGCGAGGCCATGGACCTGAGTCAAATGCTTGACGTGCAGCCTTTACAGCAATATCTATGTCTTCTTTGGTTCCCTCGCTAATACTCGCTATTGCCTCTCCTGTTCTTGGATCTATTGTCTCAAATGTCTTTCCTGTTTTTCCCCCCACAAGAAACAAGGGAAAAAAAAAGAACGAGAAGAAGGGTTTTAACATATTTATATTATTCAATAAAAAAATAATCTTCTTTTGTTATTGTTAATATTGTCTAGTTAGTAGTTAGCTCTGTAATCTCTAATTTTTCATTTTTGAAAAAGAGGAAAAAAATGTTTAGCAAATCTTGTTTTATATTTTAATTGAGGATTATATTTTTCTTATTTCACATTAGAGAAGCTAAGTTTTTACACATACAAATAAGAAGCAAGACTGTTTATAGGTTCTTTTTGTTATATGAGATAATTCCTTTTATATAATATGAGAAAATAATTTTCCTTTAACTAAAGTGACGAATATATTCACAATATATCTTTGGAATGATATAATATATCGCGTCTTATACAGTTGTGTTCCATTTTAATACGGATAAAACAAAGAAGAAAATTGCAGAAAAAAAGATCAGAAAGAGGAGCAGAGAAAGCTAGAAGAATCTGAAAAGAAAGGACAATAAAAAAAAAAATTGAGATAAAAAGTGGAGAGGAAGGTAGGTATAAAATATTAACCTGAAATGGAATCGACAAAATCACCATTAATGAAGAGCTTAGTGAACTTGATGGTGGGGACCTTGTTGACGGAGCCGGTTTGGCCATTAGCTAAGTCAGCCATCCTTTTAAGTGTGTCTGTGTCTCTAATGAATTGAAGCTGTGAGAAAAGCAAATTGAGATGTACAAATGGAGCCTATCACACCCATTATATATGCGTAAACACTATATATGCATAGACATTAGGAGGTGAAGGTTTACACGTAAAAGTATTTTATATACATGGTAGGCGGTAGCATTTCATTAGCGTATTAGAATATCATGGATTATATTATATGTTTGGCCTATTTTAAAATTAGAACAAAATTATCCGTGTAATTAAAAAAAAAAAGTACATTTAAATATATCAAAAAGAATAAATTAAAAAAAAATAAAACCGTTGTGTACCTACTCCAGTCAATCCTCACATAAGTATCAAAATATATTAAATTGTTATTATTATTATCATCATTATTATTTTATTAGTTTCTTGATCATACACTCTAGCTATTAGATCAATTCTCATAACATGAGCATTTTAGGACAAGTGTTTTATCGGTTCCTGAATTCTTAAATCATAAAGGTTTCTCAACAAAATTCAAGCATTTTTAGCACTGCAGTCATATTCTTTATAGAGTGTTTATTATTTTTCATTCATATTAAATTTTTAGTTGTTTACCAAATAAAAATTTAATCAGTCATAATTTGTTAAAATAAATAAATCAAGTGTATATATGTGTAATTGTAGTATCCTTACAGAATGAAACTATTAATATAAAATTACCTTGTGAAGTATTCAAAATAGTATATAAGTTGGATTGTATAAAATTGGCAATCTAATTTTTTTAATAAAAAATATATATTTTAATGTTCATATTATGCCAATGCGAAAAACAATATTAGGGTATACATCTACATATATATTAATAATTACATACTTTTATTTATTATCTTGTAAATATTATGCTAATAGAGTGAGAAAAATAATTCAGTGGAAAATAAATGATAAGAATTTTTCGATAATAAAGCACATGATGAATTCAAGTTATGTAAAATTACATAAAATTATATGATTATCAAATGGGTAAAGTGAGTGTAATTTTAAAGGATGTAAAGTTGTGTCATTTTAAGAGAGAGAAAGAGATAGATAAAGGAGTAGAGAGAATTGACAAAAAAAATAAAGGTGTGGGTCCCACCTCTTTGTGAGAGTGAAGGGATATAAGTTGTGTCATTTAAAAGGATAAACACTTTTCCCTTATCAAATATAATAAAATAAAATAATTCAAAATAATATAGTTAAATACTTGATAAATGATTCATTCAATGCAAGTACTTATAATTAAGTATGAGCCAAACTTGTTATACGATATCATCTTTATTTTTAATTTATTTCCTATTAATGTTTACTTATTATTTTTTTCATCTTTGATGAAGACTTCATCTCATTTGCTCGGGTTAATTTGTGTAGAATCTATCCTCCAATAGATTAAATATTACATTTTAAGTGACCACTTAATTGCTTCCAATGACAGGCTATCTTTTGTCATATATAGATTTTTTCCTATTTTGTTATTTCTCAATTGAATTATAGTAATAATTAAGAGAATAAATTAATGAATAAGAGATAGATTTTCCCCCTGATTTCGCAACATTTAATTAAATTACAGTAAAGGAGACATTAAAGTTACAAAATATGTTAATGTGCAAGATCAAATAACATCATATTAGTAACTCGATTTGTAAGGATTCTTCTATTTCATCAAAATCACCTGTATCCTCTTCTATTTAAACTTTTTTAAATGATGCACATGTAATGTATAACTAAAATTATTATAAACACTAAAGATATTTTGTTATAGCCAGATGTTGATTTTTCTGCTCATGAGGCAGACTCTGATTTTGAAATTGAAGGAGTGGGAAGCCATTCATTACTTATCCAGTTATATTATATGTAGGCAGCCATTCATTATTGGTCCACATATACGGGGAGCAGTTCATTATTGGATTCAATTTAATCTTTTCAAGTAATAATTTTATTAAAAAATATTTAATTTTGATTTAATGGTAGAGAAACTTTTTGATATTATTTAATCATAAATTACAAAAACGAGAGCGTGACTTTGAAAATAGTTATTGTGAATATCCAACTTTTTTAATAATATAATAATACATGAAAATAGTAATATAATTTTTTTTATGTTAAAGAGTGAATTAAAAACAACTTTTTTTATAAAATAAAATTCTAAGAGGATAAATATTTTGATACGTGTACCTTAAATTTTACATCAATTAGTACATTAATATTAGTGGTCAGTGGAGCGGCTTAGTGGCTCACTGCGGAACAAATTTTTGGTGCAGGAGTAGCCACTTGGTTATTTCTTTTTTCTAAAAGTGATTTTTTTTATTTGAATCCAACTTTTAATTTGTATTACCATCTAAGTCTTAAAAACTTTCCTTTTTTGAACAAATATACCATACATCCGTTGAAAATTTGTCCCATGCCAAGTTTATACAAATAGTCAAGTATTAGTATTTCATTTTATAAAAAGGCATTGTGGTTAATAAGAGTATATTCCTTAAAGGGTTCCTTTCCATATATAGATCAACCCATGCCATCAAGCCTTCACTTGATAATAAGTAAAGGTTCTTAGTTTTTAAGATCACAAAAAATTATGTATTCAAAAAAAAAAAAAAAAGATCACAAAAAATTATCTTTTCCCCACACACGTTTTATATAAAAAAATACTTACCACAAAAAAAAATTCTATTAATTAGGCATATGTTATTAAAATAAAAAAGGTTCTTTTTTCTCCGCTGAGGTCACGGATGACGACGGGTCCATACTAAATTTATTCTGCCTCGGTTAGCCATCTTCGATCAAAGGTCAATTAAAAAAACCTCATGGGTGATGATTGACGAAGGCCTTAATTTATCTGTTTATGGTTTGACCTTTTTTTATTTTTTGATCTGAGCTTTGCCCTTAATTTGTTACTTCCAGTGCTTATGTGATATGAAGTATTGCTGAAGTGATGGGGTCTGGCAAAGCGAATAATATATCCTCCACTTGAATATATTATGTGAAGAAATATTGAGATTGGTGTCGCTCCACTTATTGTGATTTATCGATCGGTCCATGAATATATTTCTTGCAAAGGGTTTTGGACTCTCCCATATTATTCTTATCAGTGGTATCAGAGCCAAAAGTTTGGCTAGGCTGTGTATTTAGAGATGGTGATGTTTCAAGGTTTTCGCATTGGAAGTGTCACATTGGCTAAACATAGATCAAGTGATGATCATATAAGTGCAAAAGACCCATAAACTTATAGCTTTAAGATTTTAGGTTGAGATGAGATGTCAGTCCACTTATTATGATTTATTGCTTAGCTCTTTATAAAGGGTTTTGGGCTCCTCGTACTATTCTTATCAGAAACATGAAATTAAATAAGGAAACAACTGTGTCCTGTTCTAATAGGTCTGACTTGTATATAAATTATGGCTGTTGATTCTACTTCTTTATTAGTGGTCCAGCCATCCAGAGGAAGGATAATTAAGTCACCACGAGATCTTCGGAGCCAGCTTTGCAATTCGATTTGGATGATTAAGTCAATGTTCATTTTCTTACAAAAACAATAGTGAGGGAAATATGAGACTTTGAAGCAACAGGTGACATAGACATTACTGGTGTGCATCACAACCTTTCCAAAATTAATTTCTTTTTAATTTTTGTTTTCGAGAACAGAAATAGATAGAAAATTCGTTTGGTAAAATCGGTTTATTTTTTTATTTCCGGGATGAACCGGTTTAATTTTTGTGTTAGGAAACATAAAAAAGAATAAAAAAATTTCTTCTTTTTTGTTCTCGGGCACAAAATAAGAAATACTTATCTCTCTCAATCACTCTCCATTTCTACCATCATCATCACCACCTCCATCATCCCGACACGACTGCCGCCACCATCATCCTGACACGACTGCCGCCACTGTCATCGTTGCTGTCATCGTACCACTAGTGCCGTCGTCACCACTGCCACCACCACCACCACCATTACCACCATACCACCGTCACCACCACCACAACTACCACCACCACCACCGTCACCACCACCACCACCACCACCATCATCGCAACCACTGTCGTCACCACCACCATCGTCATCACACGCCACTGCCACCACTACCACCACTGTCACCAACCACAACTACCATTGTCGCAACCACTACTGTCACCACCACCGCCGTCGCCGCCACCAACCACCATCACCATCGTCACAGCCATTACCGTCACCACCGCCACCATTACACCACCCTCGCCACTACCATCACCACGCCATCGCCACCACCACCACCACTGTCACCTACCACCACTGCCGCAGCCACTGCCACCACCACCATCATGATGCCTTCACAACCACCACCACCACCACCATGCCATTGCTACCATTGTTGCTGCCACCAACCACCATACCCACCACCATTGTCGCAGCCACTGCTGTCACCTCCACCATCCCAACCACTACCGCCGCCGCCGCCACCATTACTACCATCATCGTCGCAACCACTGTCGTCACCTCCACCACTACCACTGCCGTCGCCACCATTACCACCACCATCGTCGCAGCCACTGCCGTCACAACCACCACCACCACTATCTTCACCACGTCACTACCACCATGCCACCGTACCGCCGCCATCACCATGCCACATGTTGCCACCACAACCACACCATATGGAAAGGAAAGTGATGATTCGAAATTTTTTATATTTAATAGGAATTATTTTTTAGGGAAAAATATCTATCCTTTTAAAGGATAGAAACTTATATCATTTTAAATCCTAACCGTTGATTTCCGTTTCATCAACGGTTATAATTTATTGGGTCAAACTTAGTAGGCCAAATTTATTATTAATTAATTAATAATTTTAATCCAATAAATTATAACCGTTGATGGACGAAAATCAACGGTTAGGATCTAAAATGATATAAGTCTATATCCTTTAAAATGACAAATGTTATTTTCTATTTTTATTATATTATTTGTTGTGTTATCAAACACAATTCTCATTCTCGGAATAAAAATAGAACATGTTGTCAAACACATTTTTTTTTCTCAGAAACTGTTCCAAGGCACAAAAATAGAAAAGAATTGTTTCTTTTCAGAAACAATCCTAGGGAATAAAATGGTTGTCATGCACACCCTAAGTTAGCTCGGTGCTGGCCCCAAAGAAAAAATGGACAGCGACAGCTGCCGATATGAAACGTAATTAGTATTTGGCATGCCGCATGACCTGTATGGATTCATGTATGCCTCTTCAAAATTTCACCATTTTCATCCTTATACTGGATTTGAATATCAATTAAATTAAAATAATAGTCTTTAGCCAAATGCAAATGAACAGGTAGTTCAAAAAATTTCAAATAGCATCAGCCACGGTTTTTTTTTAATGATATATTTAGTGTCACTAGTCATGAGAGTAATTTTTACCACATACCTTTTCCTTTTCTTTGTCAACTCAACGACGTCTAAACAAAAAATTGTCATATACGCATGCTAATTATTGAATTTGCAATTGAATTTGACTTCATCAAGAACAGATTGGCATGAATTGAGTGAGTGAGTGATTGGTTTGCACATTATTTATTTATTAGATCATTTTCTACGGGCTTCACAGTTCATGTTTTGGTTTGACCTCTTCGGCCGCAAATGAAGGGGCAGACATATTAGTTACAAAAAAAAAATCTGGATCAGATAAGTTGAGCTTGACCCTTCACTTGCATCGGAGATCTCAAAGTATTGCTTCGCATGTCATAAATGTCTAATACATAGTTGACATTATCATAATTTGTTTTTAGTGTCCGTTTTACAAATAACCAGTACACACGAAAAACAAATTTATGCCGCTGTCACACTAAAAAATAGCGTAGAAATTTCTTGAATTCTTTAATGCTAAATGTCGTTAAGAAGTAAAGAGAAAAGAGTCTTAGTTTGATCTCTATATGTCATATTTGGATCATTTTATGTAGAAAAGTAATCATGTTATTGAATTGCAATCACTTATTTAAAAATTATATTTTTTTTCTCTCTTATCTCATCACTAATGAGTGATTGTGATCAATAATATAATCATATGACCATTTTTCCTCATAAAAGGATCCAAATCCCTACATGCCACCTTTGAGAGGGGTTAAATATCTTCAATCCTGACCCGTCCCGCAATCAGATTAGTCTCATAGCCGACTCAAATAGTTAAAATTTATGGAGATACCGGAAGGAGCTAACTCGTTTTCAAAAAGATAATTATGGTTGGATTAACTCTAAAAAAATAAATAAAAAATGAACGTATTTAATTATGTCTGGTTATATCTTGTCCACTCGTGTATTGACTACTGAATATTGAATACAGCATAGAAAAAAACTCTGATATGTGATAAATCAATACATTCGCGCCTAAAAAATATGGTATATTATTAGCTGAAACTCCTTCATTTGCAAAAAACTAAGCTTAGGCAAAAACAAAAAGTGAAAATTAATATGAAATGCGCAGCTTTCCTGACATGAAACTCGGCCTGCCATGTATCATTTTAGAGAAATCATTTTCTCATGCGATAGGAGATAACTTTCTTATGTTGTGAGACATCGAAATCTGTGTAATCCTTTTTGTTTTTTTGTTTTTTTTTAACAAGTGGTGGGCCCCACCACTTATTATGTCTATGGCATGAGAGATACAACCTCACGTGACATGAGAAAAGAGAAACCCATCATTTTATGGGTATAGTTGTGGAATACTATAGGTACTTTAAAAATTAAAAAACTATTTTTTTCATTTATTTCAGAATTATTAATAAAATGATTACTTGATAATTGATTATATAGTAGGCTATAGTTTAACAATTTGTTGTGCATTTTCACATCTGTTTAAGTCTGACTCTCTTGATGTAGTCATTTTGTTTACAATTGAAGTTAGTCTGTTTTACTTTTTTATTGTTTTTGCTTTCTCCTTGCGTATATATAAAAAACATCCACATATGCTTGTGAAAGTTAACGTCTTGATAACTGCAGTAATAATTATACCAATGGCATTTCGTTATGATTAAAGATTAAGGTGGTGTTTGGTTGGGGGTTTTGTTGAAGAAACCCAGGCAACTTTCATGTGGATTTCCACTTGACCATGTTTGGTTCAACAGGTTTTGACCAAAATCCATCTATGTGAAATGTCTGGCTTTTTGAGAAAGATAGTAATTTGCACTGTTTAGAAACCCGATTTGAGGGTGGTTTTTTGAGAAAACCCAGGTAAAACACTGTTGACACATTTTTTGTCATATATTTCCCTGGTAAAATTTTGTCAAACCAAACTACTTTTTTTTTAACTTCCCCATCTATTCAACTTTTCCTATGGTACCTAGTAATTACATTTCTCTAGTATTCTTAAAATTTATCTTCAACCAAACGCCCCCTAAGGGAAAATTTCTCGTGGTTTCTTTAAAGGGATTTATTATTCTTATGTCACATAAGGTAGAATTTATCTCCTACACACACAAATTCAAGATGGGTCCCACTTTATTCTTTTTCTCTCTCTTCCTGAAAGTGGACCCCACCTGCACATATGAGTCTGTAGGAGATAATATTTATCTCCTACTACATGAGAAAACTATTACCCTTCTTTAAAATCACTTAAATTTCATGCTTTTTTATAGGATTTAAAACTTCTCTTGTAAATGGAAAAGTTAACTTCTCCTGCTATATAGACCCATAGAAATTTGAGTTGCATTAATTTAATTTTTCAAGTTTTTTGTAGTGGTGGATCTCGCGGGAATTTTGTGTCTACTGCAAGAATTGAACTTCTCCATTCGAGAAGTTTTAAACCCTTTTTTATATCATTTACTTCTCATAATTTTTTTTCATCCTATCCATTTTCTAATATTATTAAAAATTCAATTAAATTATCCATTTTGTCTCTTCTTGAGATAAAAATTTCATAACCCTTTATTTCATCCACACATATAAAAATTTCCTTGAATATATATATAAAAAATCCACGTATGTTTGTGAAAGTTCATGTCTTAATGACAACTGCTGTACTAAATATATCAATGGCATTTCTTTGCGATTAAAGATTAAAAGTACAAGGTATAACCTCAGATACCCCGATACACAATTTCCTCAGATACCCCGATACACAATTTTTTGGAAAAAATACGTGTCGAACACGTGTCTGATACGGACACACTCTGACACGTTCCGACACGTGGTCAATATCACGCGGTCAATTCTCCAACATGTTTTTTCGACACGCAGTCAACTCTTTTCGACACGCGATCAATGTTCTAACACGCATTCGACACGTTCCGACACGCATCAGACACTTTTTTTTTTACTCTTAATTTTATTTTACTAACTTAACATAAAAATAATAATTTATAAATCAATTTTTTTCTGTTATGAAATTTGACATTAAAAATTAACAAGATATGAAAAAAATTTATTTATATGAAATTTAAATATTTGATTGGTTATATGACTTATTATGAGCTGTTGTATGTATTAAATATAAATTATATTATATATATTAAAAATATTATTTAATATCAAAACGTGTCCCAACATGTCAAAATATGACATTTTTTAAAATTAACATGTGGACGTGTCGTGTGAATGTCGGTGCATAATACGATATAACTATAAGCATTTGTACTAATGCTTTAAGAAGCTACTACGGCTACACACTAGATGGGAAAATTAGAGAAAAGAAACATTAAAAAGAAAAAGGCGAGACGCACCTCAGACTAATAGCTCTGACGGTTTTACGGTATACACCCAAAAGAAGAAAAGGGACAATTATTTACTTTCAAACAGGAAAAGTAATCCACAAAAAATAAAAGGAACGAAATTTGGATTTGCATCACATACTTAAGTATTTGTAGAAATACATTACCAGGAACCTGTTTTATTTCCAAATTTGACAAGCACAAAACGATAAACAACAAAAATTAAAGTAGCACCGAAAGGAGACAACAGCCAGAAAAAGGATTGAAAGGGGGGGAAAAGAAAACTTATCCCCGGTAACTGGATTGATCTACTGTGTATGGAGGTTGATAAGATGGCGGAGCAGCATTCCCGTAATCATATACGTAGCTAGTCTGTCCTACATAAGAACCACTAGATCGATAACCAGACGGAGCCAAATTGTCAACAGGGAGTGAGTAGTGCTGTTGAGTTATCCCAGCTGGACTTTGAGTGTGGGCAGTTCCATAAGTTGCTGCATAAGGATTAGCAGTTGAACCATCGTATATAGTAGTCTGGCTGGGGTAGCTGTATGGTGCAGAATATCTTGCAGCAGGACTAGGCTGTAGAGAAGGTGCCAAGTTCCTGCGGCTGAAAGATGACGGGTATGTATTAAGTTTGGCTGATTTGGAGGGTCGGGAAGAAGTGGACGCACTACCTCGACTGCCACCCGATCCATAGGTTCGCTTTTTAGGTTTGCCTCCTGATGATGAACCCTTTTTCCTTTCAGCCTTTGTTTTCTCCAAATGGGCAGCCCGCTTCCTCAATTTTTCCAAGTTAAATTCAGATTCCATCTTGTGATCTTCTACACATTTCATTACAGCCTTAATGGAATTCAATTCAAATTCTTCCTGAAAAAAATGACAAACACGGAGAATTAGGAATTTGGTCCACCAAATGCAGGAGTATATTAACATAAACAGCAGCTTTTTTGAAACTGAATTAGAAAGGTAGTTTATCCAGACCGTTGCAGCCTGACTGTTTTTTCCCTCCTTCAATAAGGTAGCAACATGCCTTTTGTAGTTCCGAACATAGGACTTGAGCAGGTTGATAAGAGGAAATCTTTCAGTCAAACCAGATTCTGAAGCAAAATAAACAGCTTCTATCTCTTTGCCATTTTTAACTAGTTCATCTATAATATCTGCATAAAGCACTAGCTTTTAAAGTCTGCGTGAGTATGCATGGATTGGCCAAAAAATGAATCACATATCTAATAAAATGATACAATATCTAATGCATGAAGAAGTGTAAAATGATGATAAAAAGTGTCAAATAAATCAGAATCAAGGTAAAAACAGTATGTGATGACACAATCTGAATTTCTCATACTAGTTGATTTAGGCTATCTATCCTTCCTGCTTCTGCTTTATTATAGAGGAAAATTAACTCGGTTAAGCACCTACACCCCTACAAGGCTACGTGTAATGGAAAAATTGAGGTGGATTTCCAGAAATATAAGAAATCAAGACATTTGATGAGTGGTTGCAGAAAAGTAAGAATAGATATGTAGGAGGCTGTGGTCTCCTAACATGTGCCAACGAGCAGAAACAACATGAAAAAACTAATCAGAGGAGTGGCACGGAGAAATGCTCTCAAGTCACTAAAACCTATTCCCAAGGGAAGTAACAAGCAAATTTCTTTAAGAAAATAACTTGAATTCTAATAAGCTCCACTATATTTGAAAATTTTAATGACCCAAAATCCCATTTCCCAGTTCTAAATTTGCTCTCCATAATAATCCCTTGGGGTCTATCAGAATCTCCTTCCTTTAAAGCTAATGAATATGGGAATACCAATGTACTGAGGGATGTTAAAATAAGCTAAAATGCAAAGCACCCCTTTGACTATGACCATGTTCAGAAAACCCCCCTGTGCTTCTAAACTCTCCAACAAGACTACCCTAACTCTCAGTGCAGAACACCTTTCTTCATTTCCAACACCCTGCAGGCCATGGATGAACCCCATCTCCGCCTTCCATTGCCAACACTGCAAAGATCACCTTCCATTTGCCAACACTGCAAAGACAAGGTGGTTGTCACAATTGACGCCATTGCCACCAGAAGCCATCAACTCTGACAAAATGCAAGTTTATAGAGGAACGGCTGCAGAAAGGTGCATCCCACAGCAGAAGGGGCCAGGATGGGACCTTTGGAGGGGATATAGCACAGAGGCATTTCAGGCAGCCCTGACAACAGGTTGTCCTGCTGGTGGCGACAGGGGAGGAGCAGCGGTGTGAATCTTGAAGTACATTTTCAACTAAATCCAGCTAGTTCTTCTGCTCAATTTTTTATTTCCCCTATTGAAAAATAATGTACAAATTTTGGTTCACTAGTATGTTGGACAGTTCTGGTAGAATGAGTTTTGATAGAGCAGAACGGAAATTTAATTCAACCCTTTAAATATGTTTACAGTCTGAGACACAAGGCAAATGGACATTAAAAGAGTCAAGGCAGTTTCTGCCATGCGTGGGGGTTATGTTCCGTTACTTTCAGAAATGGGTAGAAGCAATTAGAGGAGAGAGAAAGTATGGTACAAATTTGTATTTAGTCTGGGTAATGTTTCAGGAAGGGCGCCTAGGATTGGTAATAAGGATTCTGCAGTTTTGATAGGATCACAGCATCAGATCCTGGACTGAAGGCAGATTCACAACCCATTCATAAGAAGTGGAGTGGCCCAATTCTAGTATATCAGAGGAGGAGTGAAAATAAAGGGGAGGGAATTAATGACATGTAATAATTGGTTATGAGTATGTTACGCGTGTTGGTTACATGAGCAAGTGAGGAGAGAGAATTAGTGGTAGTTTGTTATTCCATCGTTTATCATAGACTGAAGATTCCTTTAGGAGGTATTCATTGTTTACGTTCATTTCTACAGAGGTTGGAAGGGCTAATGGAGGGATCTCCATAGCTGGGAGCTTTGGCTATTTCGTTATTTCTGTAATCATTTGTCTCTTTTCAATTAATATACAAATTACTTTCTCTGTTACTGATAGAAGGAATTTAATCCTATCAAATTGGTGCTTTCATTGAGAGTTGAACTCTAGAGAGGAAGAACAGTTAGTGTATGCTCACCAGGATGACGTCTCAACGTGTAGATGTTCTCAATGCAAGAATGGCAGCAGTGGAGAATTCGTTGAAGTCGCAAGAAGCAATTCTCCGTTCCCATGATCAAACATCCAAGGCTCACTCCAATCAACTATCCGACCATTCTGTAAAGCTAGGTTCATTGGTCACCAGCGTTGCAGAAATCGCGAACAGCCTGCAAGCATTGCACGCTGAAGTTAAAAATGGGTTTTCAACGTAGCCAACCATCAACGGAAATTCCAACAGTGACTCTGGGGGAAGGTAGTGTGACGTCGAAGGAGAAGGAGGTGAACCAGAGTGATGACGAAGCTCCAACGAAAGTAATTAACAGTGAAACCCAACACGACGATTACCGGATTAAGGCGAAACGGATAGAACTTCCGGTGTTTACCGGAATTGATCCCGTAGGATGGGTTGCTAGAGCTGAAGCTTATTCTGCTGGACATGGCACACTTGTAACCATGCGCGTCCAATACGCCCAAATCTGCATGGAGGGTCCTTCATGGCATTGGTTCAAAGTGCTCAAAGAATCAGACGCTCAATTGGATTGGGAGCGATTTAAACACGCACTATTCGATCAATATGGAGGGTCATTTTGGCAATCCCTATGCCCAATTGAAGGGGCTGCTACACGGAGGTACGGTGGATGAATATGTGGAAGCTTTTGAAATGCTCTCAGCCCAGATTCCTCCAATGCCCGATGAGCAATACATGGGTCTGTTTATTGGTGGTCTCAAGGAAGAAATCAGACATGAAGTCCTCTCCCTAGAGCCACAGAACCGATACAAGCTGATATCCATGGCTAGGACAGTGGAGCGTAAGTTACAAGGTGGGAAGACGACGCAAGCGTCCCACGGCAACAACTTTAAGCGAGGGTTGGTATCAGTTCAGATCGGTTTGGGAGAGAGACCCACAACCAAACCAACAATAGGAGTAAACCCATCGAGGCCCAATAAGCCTGATGATAAAAAAATTGGGCCAAATTCAAGAGGGGTGCGCAATTTATCGTACCCAAAGATGGTGGATCGTCGGGCCAAGGGCCTCTGTTTTAAATGTGGGCAGCACTACAGCCCAACCCACCAATGTCCAGACAAACAACTGAGGTTATTAATTTGGGAAGAGGACGACGTTGTTGGGAAGTCAGAATCCCTAATTGCAGTAGAGGGGCAACACGACACTGAAGATTGGGAATTGGTTTGTAACAATGTCAACTACGAAGGCTTGATGACAGAGATGCTTCAAGCGAAGATGATGAAGGTAGAAGGAGAATTAGAGGGGTTCCCGATTTTGGTGTTGATCGATAGTGTGGCAAGTCACAACTTTATTACTACTGAGCTCGTGAATTCGTTGAATCTTCCAGTTAATAACACCAAGGAATTTACTGTTAGTCTAGGCAACGGTAGGAGGAGGACGTCAAAGGGGAGATCCACGGAGCTCAATCTACAGTTGGGTCAATACCAACTCAAGATAGGAGCATACCTACTGGAGTTGGGCGGAATCAATTCGATTTTGGGAATTGAATGGCTGGAAACCCTGGGCGAAGTGTGCCAGGATTGGAAGAAGACGATGCAATTTTCCTGTCAGGGTAGGAGGGTCAAGCTGAAGGGATATTAGATGCGTAAGGAGATACAACCCATGGCTTTGTAGGGGGCTGTTACACGGAATCGAGGCAGAAATCAAAGGGAAATCGGATGAATCAGTCATCTTACTGGGTTCGCATCTGACAGAGGAGCAACAGAGCGCTCTCACTCAGACACTCAACAAATTCCAGGATGTTTTCACTAAAAAACAGGGGTTGCCTCCTTTTCGAAAATACGATCATGCTAAATCTCCTTCCAGGAACTGGGCCTGTCAGTGTCCGGCCCTATCGATATGCTCACCATCACAAGGATGAGATTGAAAAACAAGTGAGAGAATTATTGCATGCAGGAGAGATCATACACAGTGTCAGTCCCTTCTCTAGCCCAGTAATACTAGTGAAGGAAAATGATGGCTCTTGGCGTATGTGTGTTGATTATAGAGCGCTCAACAAGGTCACTATTCCAGATAAGTATCCCATCCCTACCATTACTAAGTTATTAGATGAATTATATGGTTCAAGATACTTTCAAAGATTGATTTGAAGTCTGGGTTCCACCAAATTCGAGTTCGAAGTGAAGATACTCCCAAGACAGCATTTCGCACACATGATGGACATTACGAGTACCTCGTAATGCCTTTTGGTTTGACGAATGCAACATCAACATTTCAAGCTACCATGAATTCAATTTTCCGGGAGAAACTTCAACACTATGTATTGGTATTTTTTGACGATATCCTCATCCATAGTCCTTCATGGGAAGCTCACTTACTTCACTTGGCAGATGTTTTATTTTTGTTGCAGGAAAATCATCTGGTTGCTCAGAGAAAAAATGTAGTTTTGGAGAAACTTTTGTTGAATACTTGGGGCACATAATCTCGTTCGAAGGGGTAGCCATGGATCCCTCCAAAGTTCAAGCTGTGATTGACTGGCCCCAACCGATTAATGTCAAAGGAGTTCGAGGATTTTTAGGATTGACTGAATATTATCGCCGTTTCATCAAAGATTACGGCAAATTTGCGCAGCCTCTAACTGAATTAACCAAGAAGGATGGATTTGTTTGGAATGACGCATCCAAATTAGCTTTCGAAAGATTGAAAGAGCTTCTGACCACAGCCCCAGTCTTAGCACTTCCAGATTTCACCAAGGAATTTATCATCGACTGTGATGCCTCCAGGGTTGGTTTAGGAGTTGTATTGATGCAGGAGAAACAACCAATTGCGTATTTCAGCAAAGCTCTTGCCCCTAGGAATCTTGCCAAGTCAATCTATGAGAAGGAAATTATGGCTCTCGCACTTGGCATTCAACATTGGCGACCATATCTTTTGGGTCGTTCCTTTACTGTGTATACAGACCATAAAAGCTTGCGCCACTTACTTTCTCAGCGAATAACTACTTCTGACCAACATTGCTGATTATCTAAGCTGATGGGGTACCAATTTGAAGTTGTGTACAAACCTGGACCGGAGAATAAAGCAGCGGATGCCTTGT